CTAGAAAAGGGAGCAAATAAACCCAAAGTAAAAGAACAGAAATAAAATTAGCAGAAAAACAACAGAAAAAAACCCCAATGAAACAAGAAGGTAGTTCTTTGAAAAGATCAGTAAAATTAAAATGCTTCCAAACAGACTGAAAACAAAGAGCAAACGAAATTACCAGCATCAGAAATAAAAGCCGGTCATCACTATGGACCCTGCAGACATTAAAAGGATAAGGGACTAGCACAAACAACTTCGTGCTCAGGAAATCAAGAACATGGAGGAAAATGACAACTGCTTTGATTCAGAAACAAGCTACCAAAGCTCATTCAGATAAAAACAGGTAACGTGAATGATGTTTTTTAAACCACTAATAAAACAATGTGTAGGGGGCAAAAAACCCACCTTCCAACAAACAAAACACTGGTTACAGATGGCCTCACTGGTAAACCCTTCCCCAGGTTTCCAAGAAGAGTTTGTGTAGTATTACCTCTCCATTAACTATTCAGAAGGCATAGACAATGTATGGGCATTTCTAAAATCCCTTCCTTTAGCAAAGAAAAGGGAGGGGAAAAAAACCCTTCTCTAGAGAGTGAACAGTGAGTGACACTGTTTAGAGACCAAACCAGCTACTTCCACGAAGCACCACCACCACCTGGTGGCCTTGTAGGGAACTTCTGAAAACACTAACAGTTGAGTTCTTGAAACTCAAGGCACAAATTTTACTGTTTGGTACTAGTGTTTCTGAATTCCTAACAAATAACCTTCAGGATTCACAAAAAGGAATCAAAATTCTCTGAGTTTCCCCAAATCTGAACTTATTCTTTAAATACTTACATTTGCCCTAGCTGGTGTGGCTCAGTGGATTGAGTGCTGGCCTGCAAACCAAATGGTTGCTGGTTCGAATCCCAGTCAGGGCACATGCCTGGCTCGTGGGCTAGGTCTCCAGTAGGGGGCACATGAGAGGCAACCACACATTGATGTTTCCCTCCCTTCCCCTTTTTCTAAAATTTAAAAAGTCTTAAAAATACATTTTACAAACTCTTTGTTCAGCACCTATCTTTTTAAAAAATGTTTAATTTGTATTGCAGTATTTCTGAGAACTATAGCCTACAGTGAATATTCAAATGCTGGAAAATGCTGTGAAGATTACTGGGTAGTATTCAAATAATGGAACATTTAGAACTTTTGGCAAGGTTTATGGTACTGCATAGAATCATAGGTCAAAAATGCCAATTTAAGAAATTATTTTGCTTCTCAAACTCCTATTCCTTGTAACACCACTCCCAGGATTCCTATAAAGCGCAGTATAAACTCATTAGCACTATATTTACATAGCAGCATACAGGGCCATGAGCATACTTATGAAATGGCAACAGCTATAACCAGGGCTGATTTGATTACAATTGCTTCTTTCCAAGGCGCTCCTGTTGTAACCTCTGACTTCAAGTATCTGCACTTCCAGTTTCTACTTTCAACTTTGTGCAAGTGAACTCCTTCAAATCATTCATGTTTCTGTGTTGACTGTTAAGATGAACCTTAACGGGAGAATTAGAGTAACTTCCACGTTTTTGATTTGACTCATTTGTTTCAGGATTCAGGAAATGCTGGGAAGAAAACACTACCGGTCTTTTAGCAAGCCCTAAGACCTGGAAGTGCCCTAGCTTTGTGAATGCAGTAAGAGAGATGAATTAGTCTCCTGACCTCTAGCTTAACAGCTGAGCTACTAGGTCAACAGGTCCTGTACGACCCACTGCTGTCAGTAACTGAGAGTGAGCAAGTGCAACGAAAGCTCGAACACTTTCATTTGTCTGGAATGAGACTACCTGCCATTGAGCAACAGGCCGCAAACTACCTGCTGCACCTTGCCCTGTACACGGCCACGCCTGCCCACTGCATTTAAGTAATGATTAAGGCAAACCAGTGATATTCTGCCTACTATAAGAAATTTGAATACTGGACCTTTCTTGATCTCACTAGAAGGTGTCAACAGGTTTTCACATAACTGGCTGTCACCGGTAGTAACTGTAAGGTACCATTAAACTGAAGATGCTTCAGAGATGCCAATATGGGACATCTTAGAGTAAAATTTTAAATAGGGTATTTCTGTATCAATCATCTACCACATTTTTTGAGCACTGGCTTTACGCTCAGTGCTGTCCAATGCTAACTTCTGAGTTACAACTACCTCATTCAAAGGTGCTCAACTTTCTGAAGCCTGGAAAATACATCAACCATTTGGTACAGCAGAGGCTAATAATGCCTTCCCTCCTTTCCAGGAGAGCCCCCATATTGTTCCGCATGGCCGTGTGAAATGGGGCCAGGGAGGGGGACCAAATGTTTAAACTTTGCCAAGTTTCCTTTTCTTGCCAGTGACTAATGAGATCTGAGAGGAAATTAGGAAGTTGCTGCGGTTCTCTGAGAAAGGTTTTCCCTGTTGTTAAGTAGAGACACACAGAACTAACCCTCCCCTACTGCCAGAATGCGGTTCCGACTCCATATGAAGTTTGGAACAGCAGCAGCTAGAGTGCCATTCCAAGCGGAGCTAAGTAAACTCACTAAGTGACAGAATAAAAGATGGGGGGGGAGGGACTGAGTTTCTGATGACAGCGAGTGGCTAAATTTTCCAACCCTGAAACTGCCCTACCAGAGTTAGGTGGGACTTCTTGTTAATACAAGAGAGTAAAATCTTTCAAATTGTTTAAGCCAGCTGATTTGAGGTTTTGTAACATGTTAAAAGCACTTAATCAGTATTCCAAAAGGAACTGGCAATGCCGGAGCATCACTCCACGCTCCCCCTAGGTGGGCAGCCAGTAAGCTTTGCAGCAGGTGTGTGCCGCAGCTTCTCCCTGGGGGGGCGTTTTGGTGCCCGTGTCTTAACTGAAAGGGATCAGTGCTACTTAAGCAGGAACTTAGTCAAACTATCGTCTCCACTTTTAGACACACCAAGAAAGAAACTGGGCTACCTACGGGCATCCTGTATGGTATCAACTGGGTGGGGGTGGGGTGCCTAGCTTTTCAGTATCAGGCCACTGAACAGATTATCAATACCAGCGTGTCCCACATGGTCCCAGTTAGAAAGGAAAAGGCTGGTTGATGTTTGTCATGTCTAAGAAAAGTCACATTTTACTGACACTCAAGAACATTTAAGAGACCACTTTAGTAGTCCTAAATTCCTACCTAGTAAACACAAACAATGCCTTATTTTAAAGTTTCTTCAGATAGCTTGAGAAAGAGAGAAGGGGAGGAAGGACTGGTGGACGAAGAGAAAGAGACACACACCATCCAACAGCGATCTGACAGAAAATTTTCTCCTAGGTGTTCTGCTCAAATAGCGAGTCTTACCTTCCCTAAGCATGGACACAAGAGAAACCCACTCGACTTCCTACCAGGCTTACCAGTGTGAAAAATAAAGGTTCTTTGAGCACTGGCTCCTGCTGTTGATAGAGTAACACCCACAGTGGTGAGGAAGGCCCCACCCTCCTCTCACAGACAAAGCAGATGGCAAAGGGCACGAGAGCTCCTTCTGCCCACTGGGCCCCTTTCTTCCAGCCTCACTGGTTTCTCGCCTGCTCACTGAGACGCCAGTGGTGAACCAACACATTTGCAAGGGTGTACTTCTGTGGCACTGTTGATTTGCATGTTCACAGCTTTTCTTACTGAGTTTTAGGTGTTTTATATCACAACACTCCTTACACAGGAGAAAATGTGTTACTAACTAATGCCACTTAGTAAATACTATTATTTTCATTATTACACACTTGTTCTTTGAGTTCCCCGTATACCCTTCCACAGCCCTCATCATCCTGTATTATAACGGGCTATTAACCAGACTCTCTTGACAACTGACCAGTGGTTTCTATTGCTCTCCCTGCCTCCCTCCCACCACCATCAGCACACAGTATATATAGTACACCTGAGAGCTATAACTTGCTCCCACCTGTAACTGTGACCTACTCTGGCAAGTAATTCTTAAGGAGTGTCACTCCTGGTTGAGAGTCATTCAACTCAACCAGTGGCTCTCATGCTTCTATTGAGACATCTGGCAGTGTCTGAACATTTCTGGTTATTGTAACTTGGAGGCGGCACTACAGGACCTCGTGGTTAAACGCCAAGGACGTGGCTAAACATGCTACAATGCACAGGGAAGCCTCCTGCAGAGGAGAATCACCTGGTCCAAAATGCCAGTAGTGCCGAGGTAGAGAAACTCTGAACTGAAGAACGGGTTCAGAGATCACTTGACCACTGGCACCATGTGCAATCCTGGCAAATTGGAAGCGCTGTTCACAAATGCTGCATGAATAAGAGGAGACTGTAATTCCAGCACATGCTATAAAAATTTAAGCCACTACAATTTATGATCCATATATTTAAATACATGGAAACGAATCCCCACAGGTCTTTTCTATAAAGAACAATCACAGTATTTTGGTCTTAATGTTTTAACAATCAACACTTAATTTTAAAAGTCCTTTCCATTTTATCTCTTCTACTGAAATAATGCCGCCTACCACAGGAGCACCAGACTAAGAGGGGAGACCACAATGTTTAATGTTCTGTCACTGAAAAACCTGAAAATGCCATCACCCACACACCTTCTCGCAAGGTGTAGCCAGTATGCTGGCACCTGCATGTATGCTTTGAGCTGCAGTTCTTCAATCACTGAAATACAAATAAGTGCAGAGATGGAAGGTGGCAGTTTCACTCAGAAAAAACAAAAACAAAAACAAAAAAAAAACCCCTCTTCAATGCTGAATATCACCAATAAAGCTGACGTTCTATTTTGCTAACCTAGAAAGGACAGAGCAAGGGCAAGATACAGTAGCCCTGTTTCAAACACCTTCAAAATCACAAAATTCTTCTATGCTTCTAGATAAAGAATAAGGAACCTGAAAGAACATGCAGGATACTAAAAATTTAATTGAACGTGAATCAGCAGAGTTGAAGTTGGTACACCACCAACACCAAAAAGATTATTTCTACCTCCCACCTAATTATGATTTACCATTTCTTACCTTCCTCTGGGGCAACTGAAGCTCCTTCAGGCAGTGTAGGCTGTAGTTCCCCAGTTTCAGAATTATTTTCCAAGTCAGTTATTTGCATTCCTTCCAAACAACCTCCTTTAACATTAGCCCTTAAAGAAAAAGCAAAAAACTTGTTATTTTTGTATACTCAGTCACTGATAATTGTGCCTATATTTTCTTCTCCTGAAACTGAGCATCAGACTAAGTGTGGCACTGATGTCTAACACTAAATTTCAAATTTATTTTTAAAAAATTCACTAGGGGACTCACAATGAAGGCTATAATATGGTAGACTATGTGCCAATGCCAACATCCTAGTTGTGATACTCTATCAGTTTTGCAAAATGTTATGATTAGAAGAAACTGGGTAAGGAACACAGAATGTCTTCTCTCTTCTTTCCCTCCCTCCTTCCTCTTCCCTACCTTCTCGTCTCTCTCCCTTCCCTTCCCTTTCCTTCCCTTCCCTTCCTTCCTCATTCCCTCTCTCCTTCCAAGATTTTTGGAGAGAGAAGGGACAGAGAGAGAGAGAGGGAGCGAAACACTGATTGACTGCTTCTCGCACACCCCAGAGTTTATGGCAGAGTTCATACAAGGTTTCAACCCATTATTATCTTAACTTCAGTGAAAATGAGCTCTAACATATTTAAACTAAACTTCTAGTACTATATCTCATCCCATTAAGAAAAACAGGGAGATTTTTGATACTTTTAAAGTTACACTTTAATTCAACAAATGAACTTCCTGTCTGCTAAAAAATTAACACAGTGGAAATTTCTTTTGTTCAATGTGAAGCTATTATTCCATTCCATAAAAAAAAGAACTTAATTTACCCCAAGGGGACCATTTTCCTCCTTTTCTCCATGGCGGGCAAGCCACTGACGACTGCAACCACAACAGCATCCAAACCGGAAGCCTGACACTGCCGGTCTTCGAGCTTCGGCGGTGGGACGTCGCTGACACTGCCGTGCGCCAAGGCTCGGGGAGAGCTGTGCCTGCTCCCGGCCTGCGAGCTCCCCGGGGAACCTCCAGGAAAGGGAGGGGATAGTCAGAAAACAGGAAAATATGAAGTTCTCTCTCTAGTTTCCACCTTAGAAGATACTGATTGATATATATATATATATTTCAACTGTTAGAAAACTAAAAAATAATTTAAAAATAGATCGCACTCTTTCTGATGCCAAGTATTTAAAAGTAAGGTGTCCAGAACATGCAATCTCTTACTGATGGGTCTACTCTGTTGTGAGATTAAGAAACTTCTGAATCAAGTTTCAGCATTTTTGGTGCCTTTAAACCTATAAAGCTATATGACAAGATCACTTTCAAATAACAGACATTTATCCATGAAAACTGTATTCCAGACTCTCCAAATTTACCTTCAGACAGAGGCTGACAGTCTCCCTTTGACAGGTTGCTTTCTCCCGAGTCCACTGCTCTTCGAAGTGACAGACTACCTGCTATACTGGACCGAGCCGGCTTGGGCAAATTACTCTTCTTACTTGTGGCTGCAAAGACATTTAAAAACATTTGTGAATATGATGAACAGCACAAAACTCACTACCTAAGCAGTCAGAGCAAGGTTTAATCTTATCATGCCTGAAACGTATTCTATCTGTGTCAAAAATATAAAACAAAACAGAGGATGCTTTCATCCTAATGGATTATTTGGGGTTTTATTCCAAAAGCATGCCTGCTTTGCTGCTTGCGAAGCAGTCTTAACTCACAAAACTAAAAACTAAATATAAAATAGAATAAATCATATCAGACATACAGTCCAATCTCTGTGCAATTAAACTCAGTATTAACAACAAAAATATAACTCCTAAACATTTGGGAACTGTGAAATATTACTGGAATGAGAAGAAAATAAATGCTGAATTAGAAATGAACCACAATTATAACACCTCAAGATGTTGGTGGCTAAATCAATAATCAGAAAAAATGCATGGCCTTAAAATGTTTTAATTACAAAAAACTGATACTAAATGGTCTAACATGCACAGACTCAAGAAACTAGAAAAATAATTGAAACAATTTTAAAAAGCAGAATAGATGCATGAAGAGACAGTGAACAGGTTCAGCAAGGTAGAAGGATACAAGACCAACGAGCAATTTTTGCATACACCAGCAAAGAACAATCTGAGAATGAAATGTAAAAAACAGTTCTATTTACAACAGCATTAAATAGAACACACAGGAAAAATTAAAGAAATATAGACACATACACTGAAAACGACCACACATTGTTGAAAGAAAATAAAGGCAAGAAAACAGTGTGTTGATTCACTGATCGGAAAACTGAACATGTTAATATGGCAGTACGCCCAAACTTGATCTACAGATTCAACAAAATCCACATAAAACTGCTATCTTTTTCTTAACAGCTCAAATTGACAAACTGATTCTAAAATTCACACAAAAATACAAAAGAGCCAGAATTACACCCCAAACCATCTTGAATGGAAGACTCACATTTCTGATTTCAAAACTTGCTGTAAAATTACACTAATCAATCAAGACTGTCCTGTACTGGTGTAGAGACAGAAATACGGATCAATGGAACAGAACTGAGAGTCCAGAAATACACCCTTACATTTATGGTCAATTATTTTTTATAAGGAGTCCAACCAAGGCAATTCAATGAGCAAAGAAGGAAAAGGGCAGTAACAAGTGTTGTCAAGGACACGAAGACACTGCTGATGGCACTGTAAAATGGGGCACCTTTGCACAGTATGGCAGTGCCTCAAAAAGTTAAACACAGCTCCCTTCCAGCCCAGTAATTCCACTCCTAAGCATATATTCAAGATTAGTAAAAATCTCTTTGTCCACACAAACTGTACATGACTGCTCAACAGCAGCATTATTCGAAATAGCCAGAAAATAAAAAAATCATAATGTCCATCAATTGATTAAACAAGTGCAATAAAGTATCATTCAACCATAAAAAGAAACTAACATGGATGACCCTCGAAATTGTTATGCTAAGTACAAGAAGCCAGACACAAAAGACTTCAAGTGTATGATTCCATTTATATGAAAAAGCAAGTTCACACCGACAAAATAAATTAGTGGTTACCAAGGGGTAGGAGTAGAGGAAGAGGGGTGGTAAATGTCCATGGGCACAGAGCTTTGGGGAAAGGAGTGATGAACGTGCCCAGGACTTAGATAATGGTGTCGGTCACACGACGTTGTAAATATACTGAACTGTACACTTAAAAAAAAAAAAAAAGAAGAAAAAAGAAAAAAGATGCTATGAGAAAAAAAAATTGACAAATTTCTCTACTGCAAAGCATATATAAATTAAGGAAAAAAGAAAAACAAAAGAGATACATTAACAGAAACAAAGGCAGACATTAACATAATAAAAGGACAGAAAGCAGACAAAATAAATCTCTTGGAGGAGATGAACAAAATGCACAAGCTCTGGCAGGTCAAATCAAGAGAAAAAGTAAGAAAACACTAATAAGCAATGGAATAAGTGAAAAAGTTAATACCCTATATTCTGAGGAAGTTTTTAAAATTTAAGAGAACAGAGTAAGTAGCTTTATATCAATTAATTTAAATGTCCAATAAAATAACTAATTCTCTAGGAAAATTATGGAAACTGATCTAAGAAGCAAAATGAGATCTATAAGCACAAAGGAATCATAGTTCTTAAAGTACTTAGAACTATAAAGTCCTTAAAGTCCTTTAAGTTCTTTCCCTGATAAGAACTAGGCTGGTAAAGTTCTGAAAGTTCTATTCCTGAAAGAACTACTAGATGATTTTACAAATGAGTTTCATTGAACTTCTAAAGAGCAGATAATGTTAAATAATTTTGCAGCATAGAAATTCTATGAGGCTGGCATAACACTAGAAATCAAACTGGTTACAAACAGGGGAACAAAACTATAGCACAATTTTACTTACGGCTACACAGCAGAGGATCCTAGGTAGAATATCAGCAAAGTAAATACAGCACCATATATCTTTTAAAATTACAACCCCCCCCCCAAAAAAAACCCAAACAAACCCCAAGAAAGATTCATTTCAGTATTTCAACAATGGTCAACATTAGATAAAAAATATAATTCTTTATGGTAACAAAGTAATAGGACAAAATAACTAACAGTTTTGACAGTTACCCCACAATCCCCGAAGAACCCTTATTAAGTAGAAAAAGAGGTAGTTTGGTGTAATGGTGAAAGTCACAGGCCCTGAAGTTCAACTTTTTGGCTCTGCCACATTACCACTGTGAAACTCTGGGAATGTTATTTAATGCCCTGTGCCTCCGTTTCTTCATCTATAACTTGGGGATAAAAATAACTTGCCTTACAAAGTTGCTGTTGGGATTCAGTGAGTTAATACATGTATCTCAGAATAGTTAGAATGGTGCTGGACACAAAGGAAACTATTTACACTGTAGTTAAGAATTGAAAGATATATCTTAACTTGATTAAAAACTACTGATTGAAACATTTAGCGCATTTTGAACTGGAGAAAAAAAGAACGGATTTCCTAAACAGGGTTGAAAACATTACAAAAATTCTATTATTGATATTAGTTAACACTGTTCTGAGGTCCTACCTTAAGACAATGCAATATTAAAGTCAAGAAAGGAACAAACTGTGATTATTTGGTGATGATGTATGACTGTCTACTTACATAATTCAAGATAACTGACCGAGAAACTCAGAATTAAAAAATTTCATTCAGCCCTGGCTGGTGTGGCTCAGTGGATTGAGCTCCAGCCTGTGAATCAAAGGGTTGCTGGTTCTATTCCCAGTCAAGGCACATGCCTGGGTTGCGGCCAGATCCCCAGTAGAGGGAGCGCGAGAGGCAACCACACATTGATGTTTCTCTCCCTCTCTTTCTTCCTCCCTTCCCTCTGTCTAAAAATAAATAAATAAAATTTTAACCAATAGTCCTCCTATGTCAGTAACAAAAAAATTAGAAAATACTATGAGGGAGAAAAATTCCATTCACAAGTACAACCTGAACTATAACATATCTAGAAATAAATGTAACAAGACATATACAAAATTTATATGAAGAAAACTAAAACTCTGAAAAAGTATACAGGATGGGGCAAAAGTAGGTTTATAGTTTTGAGCACACAAAACAGAGTTTATTCTTGGGTTTTTATTTAATATTGTTATGTTCCATACAAACAGCTGTAACCCTACTGCTGTCCTTCCCTGTATATATATAACACATGACCTGAAGAAATGAAGTAAAGTACCACATTCCTAGATATGAAGAGTTTATTACTGAAGAGATGTCAATTCCCCAAATTAAATATAACTAAATGTAATGCAATTCCAGTCAAAACTTTTTCTGGAAGAGTTAATGTATAAGAACCATCAAGGACATTGTGAAAACAAAAATGGAACGAAGGCAAACATATCACAGTATTACAAATTATGAACCTATAGTAGCTAAAAGAAGGTGTGGGTCTGATATAAACTGCTACAAATATCCGGTTGAACAGTATTGAATCGCTGTTTTTGTAGGTTAAAAACAACTGCATACTGGCAAAATTTCACCTGGTTATCATCAACAGACAAATTTAAAAACAGAAACATGCAAATTTGGGAATTTGGTCTGGATAAAAGATTCACTTTATATTGTTGGACAAAGTGGATTACTCTAAAAAACATGTTTCTTTTAGGGGGAGAGGGTGGAGAGAATCACTGACTTACCTCATACATCATTATGAAAATTATTTATGGAATGATCTAAATGTAAAAAATTTAAAAATAAAATACTACCAAAAGAAAATAAGGACTGTTGTTTTAAAAAGACTTTATTTATTTACTTTTAGAGCGAGGGGAAGGAAGTGAGAAAGAGAGGGAGAGAAATATCAATGTGTGGTTGTCTCTCACATGCCCCCAACTGGGGACCTGTCCCGCAACCCAGGCATGTGCCCTGACTGGGAATCAAACAGGCGACCCTTTGGTTCACATGTCAGCCCTCAATCCACTGAGCTACACCAGCCATGGCAGGATTGTTTTTATAAACTTGGAGTTAAAGAGGCCTTCCAAATAAAAACATTAAACTCAAAACCACAAATACTATTAATAGATTTGTCTATTTAAAAACTTTGTGTTTAGCAGAAAACAAGCAAAAACAAGAGATAAGGGGAATTATTTGTAAAAATATGTAACCAAGTATTTTACAGAAAGTCAATCCAAAAAGCATTATTTTTACTGATTTGAAATGGTCATTTCCTTGACGACTAGAGAGACTATCTTTTTATATGTTTGTTGTCCATCTGTATTTCTTATGTTAATGGCTTAATCATAACCTTTATTCATTTTCTACTGAATCCTATCCTATTTTACAAGAATTTTATGTATTTGGCAATTATCCCTTCTCTTATTCATTTCTGCTGGATTACTGCCAGCAGCACCAAGCATTAATAGATCTTGTTTTGATAAACACTTGTGAGAACCCGGAAATAAGCCCTCGTATAATATGGTCCAATGATTTTCAACAAGGGTATCCAGACCATTCAATGAAGAAAGAAAAAGCTTTCAACATGGCGCTGGGAAAGCTGAAAATCTACACGCAAATGAATGAAGTTGGACCCTTATCTGATGTCACATACAAAATTAACTCAGCACTGGCTGGTGTGGCTCAGTTGGATGAGCATCGTCCTGCAAAGTGAAGGGTCGCTGGTTCAATCCCTGGTCAGGGCACATGCCTGGGTTGCAGGCCTGGTCCCCAGGTGGGGCACATGCAAGAGGCAACCAACAGATGGATGTTTCTCTCCCTCTCTTTCTCCCTTCCTCCTCCATCTCTAAAAAAGGAATAAAACAAAAATAACTCAAAATGGATCCAAGACATTTACAAATATAAAAACCAAAATTATAAAAATGTTAGAAGAAAACTCAGGGAAAAAGCTCTTTTAAACATTGGGTTTAGCAATGTTTTCTTGGAATATGAAAAGTACAGGCAACAAAGGAAAAAAACAGATAAACTGGACTTCCTTTAAATTAAAAACTTTTAGTCAAAGGACATTAACAACAGACTGAAAAGACAGCCCACAGGAGAAACTATCTGCAAATCATATACTGTTCCAGAATATATAGAAAACTGTTAAAACTAAAAACAACCCAATGCAAAAATGGGCAAAGGACTTTATAGGCATTTTTCTAAAAAAAGATACAGATGGCCAGTAAACACATTAAGAGATACTCAACGCCATTAATCATTATGTAAGTGTAAACTGAAACCACAATGACACATCACTTCACTCCCATGCTTGGGAAGACGTGGGGAAACTGGAACCCTGTGCGCTACTGGTGAGAATGCAAAGTGGTCCCACCTCTATGGAAAACAATATGGTGGTTCCTGAAATAATTCAAAATTGAACTACCACATATCTTGCAATTTCTCTTCAGCATACATGTCCGAAAAAATTGAAAGCAGAGTCCTGAAGAGATAACACCAATGTTTATAGCTACATTATTCACAGTAGCCAAAAAGTACCAACCCAAGAGCCCATCAAAAGACAAGTGAATAAACAAAAAGTGGTGGTGTGCCTGTGCACACACACTAATATTACTTAGCCATAAAAGTGAAGGGAATTCTCCAGGTCTCGGGCACACGGCTGGGTTGTGGGCCAGGTTCCCAGTAGGGAGCACAGGAGAGTCAACCACACACTGATGTTTCTTCCCTCTTTTCTCCCTCCCTTCCCCGGTCAGTCAGTCAATCAATGGAATTCTGACACACACTACAACATAAATGATCCTTGAGGACATTATGCTAAGTGAAAGAAGCCAGATACAAAAAGACAGATACTGTATGATTCCACTTATGAAATAACTAGAATTGTCAAGTTCATAGAAACACAAAGTAGAATAGTGGTTACTAGGGGCTGGAGGAAAGGAGGAATGAGCAGGGTTCACTTTGGAAAGATAAAAAAGTTCTGGAGAAAGACAGCTGTGATGCTTGCACAACAGTGTGAATGTATTTAAATGACAATGAACTGTACCTTTAAAAATAGTTAAAATGATAAATTTTATGTTATGCATATTGTACCATAATAAAGACACACAGATAAACTTTCTTGACCCCACACTCCCTCCAGGTACCACCCGATTCACTGTGAAACTCGGTAGAGCTGCGCAATCATGCTCCGGTTTCTGACTTCATTCGTTCTTCTGCTACACACACTCTCAATGGTATAACCATTCCACTTTCTGAGATGCATTTTTTAACATATTTGAGATATTTTCCCTTCTAGTATCTCAACGATTGCTATTTTCATCCTTTGCTGGGCTCCTCCATCCATTACCAGGACTTTAAATGTTTAAGTGCCCCACAGCCCCATTTTCTCTTCTCCATTTGAACTCCCTCCATATTTTATCTTATTCAGCCCCTGGTTTTAAACATCTGATACTGCTGACTCTCAACTGCTGATATCCAGCTTTTGACCTCAAGTTTCAGGTTTACGTACCATTCACCTGCCTACCAGACATTTTTCTAGGTTTACTAGCAGACCTCTCAAATCTAGCAAGCTTAAAAAACTGCTGACTTTCTGCTCCTACCTCTTCCCAAACCTCACACTGTCTTCTTCCGTATTTGATTTGCATCTCAATGACACCACCAGACATAAGTTTCCTAGCCCCAAAACTAAGACATCATTCTTAGTTTTCTTTCTTTCCCTAAAACACCACCCAGCCTTTCTTATTAGGCTTATGGGAAAGAATTAAGGCCTCCTGGTCTAAAATTATCCACTGCATGTAATGGATTAAGGTCTTTCTCTATGTATCTAAAATAGTGTTAGTTATATACCATCCTTGGGAGAACTAAGAAAGGTGGGAACCTCAGCCAAGAAAGGCTGCTAGACTATGAGCAAGTCCATCTACCCACCGTAGTGACTCCGGGATAAGCCACCATAGTTCACACAAGCTATTGTTACAGGCTGTTCACTGGTCTTACAACTCCCACTCTCAGCCCTTTTGCACACAACACACAAAGTAACCTTTGTAAAAGGTAAATCAGATCATAAATACCTCCCCATTTATATTCTCTAGACACTTCCTCCTAAAATAACAAAACACAAAACTCTCTATGGAGGTCTTACAAAAAACCTACCTGAACTAGACCTGCCTACCTCTCTGACTTACCTCCTGTTACTCTCCCCCTCTGCTGTGTTCCCTGATCTTCAATCAAGTCTTCAAACAGGCAGAGTAAATCCTGTATCAGTGGCTCTGCACTTTCTGCCCTTCACCCCGAACGCTGCTCCCAGTCTTTGCCCAGCTGCCACCTTCTCAACCATCAGGCCTCAGTGCAAATGCCGCCTCCTCAGAGACTTTCTCTGCCCACCCTCACTAAAGGAGCACACTCCTTTCTGCCCGCCCTTCTGCTGTTTCCCTTGCAGCACTTGTCTACACATGTTAATGGCCAATTCCCACCAGATAAATACGTGAACGAAAGATCCACAAGTGTTAAGGATTTTGTATTATTTACTGCCCAGTACAGAATAAGCAATCGATAAAAGTTAGCAAAATCAATAAATCGAGAGCTCGATTACACAGGAGGAAACATAGTTTGTTTCAGATGGGACACAAGGCTGTATTATTAATTCACTGTAAGAGAGATTTTTAAGTACTACTATTCTGAAAATAACCCATCCTCTAGCTTCCCAAATGACATGTGGAGAAATGACTCTAACAGGATCTTTTCACTTACAGTTTCGTATGTAACAACTGGCAACCGATGACTTTGCCAGGAGCTCCATTCCTAAGTCCTGTAACCTGCCCGAGTTTTCGGTTCCACATGCAGCCAGGGCTGCCTGGTCAGCACACAAAAGACTTGTCTGCGTGTCTCCAGAAGCAGCACTGCTGCTTTTCAGTTCTGAAAGTGTATTCTTTACATCAGTTTTCATACATCGAACTTCAGCCATTTGAGTTTTGAGTCTTTTTAGCATCTTTAAGTCAGAGGGAACGCGCCACATTGCCTGCTGCTTCCTTTGATCTTTATCTTTTCGAGAATATGAGGCTTGAGAGAGAGAGAGAGAGAGAGAGAGAGAGAGAGAGAGAGAGAGAGAGAACTCATATTAACACAGACTTCAGCATTCATGAAATCATTCTGCATTGTGAAATATGCAAATTTGATCTGTAGATAAACTACAATGCTTTAGGTGGTATCAGTAATAAAAGTATGTATTAAATGCCATTAATGAAAATATAGTCACAAATATCCTAACTTTATTCATACCTTCAAAATTAGAATACTGTTTACATTATAATCACTCAAATCTGTATTATATATTTAACTCTAAAAGTTTATAAAACTATTCCACTGACTGCTTTCTTCTTTACACTTCTCTATTTTTCTCAAATTTTCTACACTGAGGTTTTATTATGCTCATCATTTAAAACACTGCCAAATACTTAGTCAAAAATTATTATGGTATATAAAAATATAAATATTCTAATAAATTAAAAAAGTTTATTTATTTATTGCCCTGACCAGTGTGGCTCAGTTGGTTGGGTGTCATTCCACAAAGCAAAAGGCCGCCAGTTCGATGCCTGGTCAGGGCACATGCCTGGGTTGTGAGTTTGGTCCCTGGTCAAGGTGCATAGAGGCAAATAATTGATGTTTCTCTTTTGCATCAATGTTTCTCTCCCTCTGTTTGTCCCTCCCTTTCCCTCTCTCTAAAAATGAAATATTTTATATTTTTCTTTTTTAAATTATTTTATTTATTTTTAGAGAGAGGGAAGGAGAAAGAGAGGGAGAAACATCAATGTGTGGTGGTTGTCTCTTGCACATCCCCAACTGGGGACCTGGCCAGAGCAACCCAAGCATGTGCCCTGACTGGGAATCGAACTGGTAACCCTTTGGTTTACAGGCCGGTGCTCAATCCACTGAGTTATACACCAGCCAGGGCAATAAAATCTTTTTTTTAAAAAAAGTTGATTTACTGAAGTATTATCCAATGTAGATGCACCTATTAAGTGCCATGGAACATTATAAGAATAGGTCCCTGCCCTAGCTGCTGTGGCTCAGTGGACTGAGCACTGGCCTGCAAACTAAAAGGCCGCCAGTTTGATTCCCAGTCAGGACACATGCCTGGGTTGTGGGACAGGTCCTAGTAGGGGCGTGTGAGAGGTAACCACACATGGATGTTACTTTCCCTCTTTTTCTCCCTCCCTTCCCTCTCTCTAAAAATAAATAAAATCTTAAAAAAAGAAAGAAAGAAAGACTAGGTCCCTGTCACTGAGTCTGCAGTCACTAAAGTAACAATGTTTTCCTTCTTCGCAAAGTACCTAAAGTTGTTTTTAACCTGCTCTCACCTTACCTAAATATTAAAATGAGAGGCAAAAGGAAAATACATTTTCTACTGCAGGAAGGAAAAAAGAGTTATTTCTGAAATCAAAATGAGTCTGAGAGGTAACAGATGCTCACTCAATACAAAAGAATAAATGTTAAAAGGCGAAGAAAGGACCAGTGAGCAACTCTATGACAACAAATCCAGATGTAACAGACCAATTCCTTGAAAGATAATCTGCCAAAACTCACACAAGAAGAGACAATCTCAACAGGCCTATAGCCATTAAAGAAATTAAATCAACAATGAATAAATTTCTAAAACAGAAAGCATCACACTAGTGAAGTCTACTAAACATTTAAAGAAATTATACCAAGTCCCTACAATCTCAGAGAAAATAAGCACAGAAAACACTTCCCCACTCAGTTTGTGAGGCCAGTATTACTATAATAAAATGCAATACTCACTCAAAACACTCTTAGAAAACTAGGAACAGAAGAGAACCTCTCAACATCATAAAAAAACCTACTTAATGGTGAAAAACTCGAAGCTTTCCCACTATTATCAGTAGCAGGGCAAGGACGTCCCTTTTACCACTCCTTTTCAGTATCTTCCCAGCTAACACAGTAAGACAAGAAAAAGAAATGTATGCCATACAGACCAAGAAGGAAAAAATACACAACGAGCCAAAATAACACTGAAACCTAAGAAAACATTTTAATAAAAAGAAAGCTGGGTCTTTCTGCAGTGTTAGGTTTTAATACCCTCTCACAGGTAGGTTATTTTCATTTGGCTTTCATGACTCTCTCCTCTTGGGCTTTTGTCCTGTACAAAGGCTCTGCAGCTGGCTCATCTTCCTCATACTCAGCAAAAAACAGATGTCCACCACCATTATGTTCTTGGCCCTTTTCTTTTTAAAATTTTCTTGAAAATCTCTCTTTTGCAATCTTACTTCCTTAGTTTAGGCAAATAATTGTCTATATTCCAATTCTTAATTTTTAGCTGTTTACTGGGCATCTTTACTTAGATACCCCACTGGTACGTCAAATTCAAAGATATTTAAATCCAAGACTTGCTCTTTCTCTATTGCCCTCATCCTCCTAACCTCCTTGACATCAGCATTTTAATCACCTAGATTTGAAACTCAGGCCATCTCATTTATGCCATTAATTTTATATAGAAAACTAACTTTCTGGAGAATGAAGATCTTACTATGTTTTGCATTCTTTTTTTTCCAATGATGCTGAATGGTTTTCAAAAACGTGACTCGCCCTGGCTGATGTGGCTCAGTGGACTGAGAGCTGGCTTGGCAACCAAGGGGCTACCGGTTCAATTTTCCATCAGGGCCCATGTCTGCGTTGTGGGCCAGGTCCCTGGTTGGGGACACGTGAGAGGCAACCACACACTGATGTTTCTCCCCCTCTTTCCCAACTCTCTGAAAAAAATAAAATTGTTTAAAAAAAATGACTTTGCCCATCTATAAAATATGCTATTGCATGGCTAAATTGTAATTTTTCAGCCCTAATTGTACAGGGTGGGGCAAAATTAGGTTTACAGTTGTGAGTATGTAAAACGTAAGAGTTTATTCTTGTATTACTATTAATTAATTATTGTCCATACAAACAACTATAAATCCACTTTTGCCCCACCCTGTATTTGTTGGATAGTTTCAAACTCTTTGGAATATACCTCTAAAAGTAAAGTTACATGATTAAAGGATAGAAATATTTTAAACTTACTACAAAACTTTCCTTCAAAAAGGTTAAACACACACACACCTACCTACAGAACCAGAACTTGTCTGTTCCACCAGTTCTTTGCAAACACTGGTTACAATTTAGGTGAAACCTTTGCCAATGTGATAAGCATTATTTAAAAAAGGTATTTCTTTGTTGATCACAAAAATTATGTGTGGCTTTTATTTTCTTCTTTATAATTTTCTATATTTTTCAAGTATTCTATAATAAAAATGCCTCAGGAAAAAAAGGGGAAATTATACACAATGTGGTGAGTGCTACAAAAGAACCAATATAATACAAAATGTACTTGGATCACAGATAAAAGGCGGTTGTTGCACCACCTGGTTGAAGTCTGTAGAAAGTTTACCTCAGGAAGGAAGGGGCCTACATAACCCAGACCTGCATCCACCCGCCGCCAGAAGAGCTCTAGTTCTCTGTTCTCTACACTGAGGCTCTACCTTGGTTGGACTGTGTTTGAGAAATGAGCCCCACTGCTTTAAAGGGACAACAGTACTTGAACAATAAAAAACAAAACAAAACAAAACACAAACAAAAAACCTAAACATTAAAATCACTGATTTACTTTGTATAATACCATTGTTTAAGAAGGTAGAAAAATGTTCAGTATACTTTTAAAAGCTTTCCAACAAAAGTGGTTTTTAAAATGTGTGATTTAGAAGTAAATCTTTATTAGCTACTGAAAATGACTAAGCCTGAGAGTTTCAAAAAGTCTGACTTGGACTCTACCTCTCACACGTGTGTGCACTATATTAGAGTAACACAAACGCAGTTTCTCTTCAACAAATAACCCTTGCACTTAAAATACTGCTGCTAACTGGCAGAGGTTTTTCGGCTACTCAACACCAACGTATGAGTAAGCCATCTTTTTCTATATTCAATTTAGTCAGTTTCACTTGGAAGTCCTGGTACTCATGAAGTCTGCAAAACCCTAAGTCCATTCACAAAGAGGAAACCTATACTTCATATGGATCAAACTGTCAACTACATATACAATTTACAGGACAAAATCATATTTTAAAAAACCTTCTTACAGGCATTTTGACATTTTTGCCCAAAACACCTTTGAACAAGAAAAAAATTAATTGAACAATGAAATGTCAATTCGCTACAGAAACATACTATATTCCAACTCTTAGATGATCTACTTGGATTAAAATTCAAGAGTTCTTTTGGGAAACCACAAAAGAGGGGAAACCGCCGTTAATACTGTACCTGTGGGCTGCAACAGTGAAGCAGGCGGGCGAGGCTGTAAGCCCCACAGGTTTTCCATGCTGCTCCGGTCCTTTAGGTCCAACAAATGTATTAAAATGAAAGGATCAATGTCTAATAAACTACTGGTAGCAGCAGAGCACAAATGTGCTCTTCTTGACATTCTGCTACTGGCACCTACATAGCCATGGTTACTACCTGCAAAAGAAATAATACAGAAAATGCATGCTATATATATATGTTTGCATGAATTTAAGTATATTTAAAAGAAAAATTAAACTGGCTAATGTTTGAATACTTGTCTGTGGACCCATCTCTTAGCTGGTTTTCATGGTGAGAAACACACAGAAGAAACCGGACTGCCAGAGAGGTGCATACAAGCACAGTGACTACACACTGGCCTCGTCACTGCCCACAACTCAGGAGCAACCTTCAACCTCATCCTGAGCCCTGGAAGTAGATCCCCGTGGTATAACAGATCCCAAGATGGACACCAAAACAGAATTCTTCTCCAGGTCTTTGGACAGAAAGCTGTAGACTCACGACAGTTTGGCAGACTTTTTGTCCAGCTTATCACATTTATATCACCTATACTGCACTAAGCTTTAAGCCACAGGTGGCAAACACAAGGCCTACAGGCCGAATCCAGCCCTCCACCTTGTTTTATATGGTCCAGCACCTTGTTTCTACCTGGCAGCAGCACCGAACTCCTTGCCCCTAGTTAAGGAGTAGTCACATTTATACAGTCCTAAAATTACATTCAGCCCCTTGAAGGCAACCGTGAGGATGATGTGGCCCCCCGTGAAAATGAGTGTGACACCCCTGTTTTAAGCTAAGGAAACCACCTGACTTTTCTCTAGTGCTTACTGTAATGCCTAGCAAGTAGTAAGTATGAAAATACTGGTTAAAATTCACTTTTATTAAAGCAATTTAAATATATTCTAAAGAAACACAACCTTTAAAATGCTACCTGAAGAAGAATGTGCAATGGTAATGTAAAAATAACAAAATAATCAAGTTGAGTACTTATGAGTGTTTCAAAGAGGTGCAAGGTAGGAGAGATGGAAACAATGTAGGAGTAAAGTTCAATTACTCAGAAGCTTTGGGGTAATTATTTCACGTTTTTCATCTGTAGTCATATCCTCATGACTTTACCTTCTCCTACTTCTTCCTGTTCTAAGGATTATCATTCCATTACTAATTTTTCTTCCCAGTCTCTGTACCCTCTGAAACTCCTGTTAAAATTGGCAGAAAACTTTCTCCTTCCACCATGAAACTGTTTCTTAACACTTCTCCTTTATTAGGGAGTTGCCAAATCAGGCTGTGCATCAGAGAGTTGAAGGAGTTTTTAAAATTAGATTCCTGGGCTCCACTCCAGATGTACTGAATGAGAACACGAGTGGGATCCAAGACCTTTTTCCAAAAAGAATCACTACTCGGGTGATTCTGAGTAGTAAGTAAATAAGGTCAGTAGCCCACTGTATGGCATGTAATGCAATGCAGTGGACTCTGGTTCTTTAAAAACAGACATTGCCTGTGTTAAATGAACCCATAGTATAGAAAGGAGCGTTAGCATGCTGTCTCCTGTTCCTCACTGCCCTTCTGGGCCATTATCCTCACCAACGAGCAAAAACTCCTTTCCTTTGTGGTTTATGCCATTTGGCTACTCCCTCACTTTCCATGCCCCCATCTTTTCTGCTCAACTGTGGTGTACATCCACAGGCATCGAAGACTTTGGCATCTATTTGCAGTTTCCCTCTCTGGGAGAAGCCACCACTGTGGGATGTGGGGCACGTGTGTGTCTACGACCTAAGTATACAGCCTGAAGAATGTTCCCCAAATACTGGCACCCCAGAACCTCCCCCACACGCCTCCTCAAACTGTTCATTAATCTTCCTCCCCAAATGTAATCTCCATTCTGTGTTAAATACCATAGATTATTTTTGCTTGTTTTGAAATTTATATAAATGCAATATTATTAAAAGTATGGACATATTCTTATATTCTGCTTCTTTGTTCAACATTATGTTTATGAGATTCATCTATATTACTATGCAGCATCCTACAATATGAATATATCCAATTTCTTTATTCTATTGGGAAAGAGTCTGGGTTGCTTCTAACTTTTGGCCACAAAGAATAAAGCTACTGAAAATTATAAGCAGATAACTGCTCCTGAAGCACACAAAGAGAAAATATAAAACACCTCAGGACAAAGCAAATGGATCAGTGACAGGTTCCTCCCTCCTGAGCCAAGACAGATCCATCCTGCAGCAACACCACACCGAGCAGCTTCTTGGCTGTACTCCAGTGCCTGTGTGCACTAGCACGACAGTCAAGGTCCTGCGCAGTCTAGCCCCTCCCTAACTACCTCATAGTCATCTGCTCTACTTTTCCATGTCCTTTACTTCATTATCAATTACATTTTTCCTTAAATTAAAAACAAAAAGCACAAAAAACACCTAAAAAGGAACAATGCTACTCCAAATATTCTTGTGAGAACAAACTGGCAGCAGCTCACATTTCTGCTGGAACTGGGGGAACACTGGTGTGTGTATGTTCAGCTTTAGCACCTACTGCCCAGGAGTTTTCCAAAGTGGTGGTATCAATTTTCAGTCCTAGCCAGCAGGGCACGAGAGTTTCCATCTCTCCACATGCTTCCAACACTTAGTGCTGCCAGTTTTTAAAATACTATTACAGTGGGTGTGGTTTCTATTTGGCATCTCCTCATTACGGAACGAGGAGAATAAGCAGTCTCAGGTCCCTGTGGTACCCCACCAAGTGTGCCAACACACACATACTGGAAGAGGAGGAACAGTATTTGAGGGAAAATGGTTGAAAATTCCCTACATGTGATGAAAATATTAATCTACCCATCCAAGGAGCTTAGCTCAACAAACTCCAGGTAGGATATGTAAATTCATGAGTTCCTCCAGGGACACACAATGCACTTTCTCTGAAGAAAGAGGCCCGGTACACCTTTTAAGATAGGTACTGCTCACCTGAACAGCCTCCTTTGCAAAGTGTCTATTCCAGTCTTTTCCCCCTTTTTCCCCTACAAGTTTGTCTTATCTTCTTCTGATTGATTTGTAGACTTATATATTATGGACGAGTCTTTGGGATTTTTAACTCATTTATTCTGATTAATAAAAATTATGTTTGGTATTAAAAAAAATCAACATGTAGCTCTAGACCAGACTGCTCACCTGAGATCTTCTAAGCAATTAGGTAGGTGGGGTCTGAAGACAGACACCTGGGAGTCTCACAGGTCGCTCAAAATCTACACAGATCCAATAGATTATATTTATCTTCTGCTCCTGGACTATCTTAATTAATGGTACAGCCTAGAAGCTTGAAGGAGTCATCTGCACATTTTCACCTACCCCAACCCAACCAGTTACAGCCTCCAAGTCCTATGGAGTCTAACACATCTAAAAAGGCTTGTTCTTCTCCACCCCTCCTGATAGTGCACTGTTTTAGGCCCTCATAATTTTCCCTCCTGTAATATTTCCGAAGTTTCTAGCTAATTTTGTCTACTTCACCTTTAATTCATCTTCCACTATGGAACCAAATCTGATCACATTCACTTTTAAAGACCTTTAGTGGTTCCACTGAAAAAAAAATCCAAACTCCTTAGCCTAGCAAATAAGACCTTCCATTACATGACCTTGTTCCTGCTTACCAATCTTACACTGACCCGACCCCATTTAAAACTAAAGTCTCAGTCATCCAAAGTTCCTAAAAGGAACAATGTTGCATATTCTGTGTGGAATGCCTTTATATTATCTCACTGATTTTCCTGCTCCCCTTATGAACCATTAGCTTATCTTTCAAAAGCAAGATCAAGCATCACTACCTCCCTGAAGACTTTTTTCACCCGTTCCCAAGTAGCTCTTCACTGCAGATATTGGCGTCACCCCCTGTATCTGCGTTTACAATCACAAAGTTTTGCAATGACTAGTGCTAGTGCTGGTTCCTCACTTAGGAAAAGTGGTGCTCATTCATCTTTTAATCCCAATGAACAACAAAATGGCTGATACCTAGTGAGCATTCACTAAACATTTGTGGAACAAGTGACCTTAAAAATTCCTAATCTGAAATAACGGATGTTTTGAGTAATAACCTCACATAATGTCAATTTGTTTTATAAGTGTGTTATACAGCCCAGTGAGGACTATGAGTTCTTAATTAAGAAGTATTATTAAACTTTCATAAATTATATATGACTTATAAATATAGAACAGATTTTTACTACTCAGCTGATTCAACTAGATAATGTTCTAGATTAGAACGATACTTACAATCTTTTGGCACAGATTTAAACATAAATTCTCTTGTAACTAAATGAAAATAACTGAATAAACAATGCTATTTTTATGGAAATGTGGCCACCTGAATCACTAAATCACTCTTGTTTCAAGCCATCATCTTATTTAATACTGCCTATAAAATAAAATTAGAATTTTACCTTATTCCTAGCTTCTGTATAAGAAAGCTCTTTTCCTGTGTAATGAACAACTTAACATCTTAATTGACATGATTCTTTAGATGACTGTGTGGTTCCAAATTATCAGTAACAGGTTTGAAATGGATTTTTCATAATGAACATCTGATGATAATGCATTCCACACTCAGCCTCAACTCATCCCTAATCTACCTTGTGTTTACTTATGTTTTTAGAATAGTTTTAGATTTACAGAAAAAGTGAAAAGATTCAGTGTTTCTGTAAATCCCATATTCAGTTTCCCTACTGTTAACATCTTTCATTACTATGGTATATTTATGACAACTAATAAACCAATATAAATGTTTTCAACTGAATTCCAAACTTTATTTGTATTTCATTAATTTTTATCTGATATCCTTGTGTTGCAGGGTCCCAACCAAAATAGCAAATCACATCTAGTTAATCATTTCTCCTTAGCTTCCTCTGATCTGTGATATGTAATAGTTTCTCAGACTTTTCTTGCTTTTGGCAGTTTTGAAGAGTACTGGTCAGATATTTCATAGAATGTCCCTAAATTGGGGTTTATGTGGTGTTTTCCTCATGGTCAGACTGTGCTTATGGGTTTTGGGGATGACGACAGATGTAAGGGCACCTCTGCAACACCTCACAACGAGGACACATGCTGTTCACACAATGATGCTGATGACTCCAAATCTGATAACCCGGCCAAGGTGGTGTTTGCCAGATCTCCCTAGCAGAGTCGGTCGCCACTCCCCCTCCCTTTTCACACTGTACAATCTGGAAGCAAGCCACGAAGTGTAGCTTACATTAAAGGGTGGAGAGCTACGCTCCACCTCCTGAAAGAGGGAGTACACAAGTACAAAGAAATTCTTTTGTATGTGCACTGTCTTACAGTTATATATATTGTTCACATATCCATACACCTTTGGCTTATAAATTACTTAAGAGTAAGTCCTTTTCATTGTATTTTCCAGAAATCCTGAAATAGGGAAGAAATTCAACAAATGCCTACCAAATGTATAAAATTCCCCAAAGCACAAAATAAAAATTAACTGCTTGATTCACTATTGTATTCTTAGCACCTAGAATTTTGTGTCTGTATTATAATAGGTACTCAAAAAATATTCACTGAACAGATAAATTATAATTTCAGAATTACAGAACAGAGAGGCCATGAAAGCAGGGACACCTTTGCATTCAGTACTGTAGCTCCAGAGAGTAAAACAGGATCCAGTTCCAGTTAAGGGCTCAGTAGGTATTGGGTGAATGAATAAATAAATTAATTGAAAAATATAACCTCTAGTGTACCCAGGGTATTTAAAAATGCCATGTACAAGAAGTTCCCTAGAACATAGTTTAAGAGAGGAAATCACAAGTTTAACTTAAAAAAAAAAAAGGCTGAAATATCTTCAGTAACTTCGACTTAATACACGATCTATTTTATACCAAGACAGCCTCTGAATTTTTTGGTAGTATTTAAAACCTTGAAAATTACATTAAAAACTTAGTAATAAAGTATATTTACTCAACATTTAGCTCAACAAATATTAAGTGATCCCTACTATACCATTAAGTGCTAGGGATACAAAATTAATTAACATGCACATCACCTCGGCTTCGTGGAGTTCAGAGGGGAAAGACAAAATGGGCAGCTACATAAGCAATTAGAATGTTCAATACAAGGGGGACCCCAAAAACCCGGTGTTTATAAAAAGCTGTGTATTTTTCTTACATATTTAAACTTTAGTCACCTTCAAAGTACTCTCCATTTGAATCAATACACCTATTGAGCCTTTTTTTCCACCACTCACAAGTTTTTGAACTCATCGATTTTGATGCTTCTGCTGTTTTTTGTTTCACCTCTTCCACATCGGCAAAATGCAAAATGTTTTCTGTTGAGGACTTTTTTCATCCAAGGAAACCAAAAAGGGTCACCTGGGCTGAGAATGGATGAATAGGGAAGGTGAGGCATGGAGGTCACACCATTTTTGGTCAACACTGCTGAACACTCAGCACAGTGTGGGCAGGTACACTCCTCAATCACCCCTCGTGATCATGAAATGGGCAAACTCACTGAGAGTCTTAAAAAAAAATCCACTGCAGCCCAACGCAGCCTCTCACAACAACTCCAACTGGTACACCGATACATATGGGTTCCTAAAACACTCACCTAGTGGGGGAAACCTGTGCTATGAAGGGCCTGCCTTCCAGAAGATAATTTGACTTTTTGGGGGGTCCCCCCATATAAGTTAAATAGGCTCTAAGGGGTTAATTTGAGAGAGCAGAAAAGATACCCAGGGCAAGCAGTCAAGGAGGACTTCCAGGAAGAAATACAATAAAAGCGAAAGTAGGAAAAACAACATGTTGGGAAGTGAAGATGTGAGATACCATGGCACACCTGATGAACTGAAAAACGTGCAGAGGAGTGTGAGAGAGGTAAAGGCTAAAGAAATAAGCAGGAGCAGCGCATAAAGGGCCTGTGTACTACACTAACGAGTTTGGACTTTATCCTATAAGTAAATGGAATCAAATGAAGGGTTTCTAAGCAGAGAAGTGACATGATGAGACATTAATGAAGGGAAAAAACTCATTCTGAACTCATGCTATGGGTAACAGAATGAAGGGGAGCAATAATGGATACAAGGAACCCATATGAGAGGCTGTTTTGAAAGACAGTAGCCTAAAACCTCACAGAATTTTATAAGTAAATGAGATAAGGTACACAAAGTGCTTCTTGCATAGTGCCTGGTACATATGAACACATACCAAAGGTTAGCTATTATTATTGTTTAAAATACCTTAGTAATATACTCTAAAGTCAATATACAAAACATAGCACTTCCAACACCACGAGCCATATAGAGTGTGGCTGCCACATATTAAAATACGATACTGTCAGAAGAGAGTAGAGAGAAGACAGAATGGCTTGTGGGCTTGGCCTCTGTACCTGCGGGTCCTGCAGCAGCCGCATCTTCCATGAGCTCCCCCTCTTCCAGTTCCATGTTGTTGTACTCCACATCATTTTCTCCAGACCTAAGAATACACAACACTCATTATTCCCACAGAGTATAATTAACATTATTTGTCACACTTCAGTGAATTTTTAACAATAGTGCATAGCTTTCTCCTGTGAAAACAGGATATTTTTAAATACAAAAATGAAGAAAAAGACTTTTGTACTTATCACATGTATAGGTAGTATTAATAGTCAAATTACCTTTAAAAGGTACCAAGGCAGCTTGGCAACATTTAATTTTTAGAAGAGAAAATCTGAGAACCATTGTAAAGCAGAAGAGATTACAGCTTTATAGAATTTGTAACTTAATGGCAGTAAATTAGGCTTAAAACACTACATTTTAAGACTAAAAAAAATATTCAAGTTACTGCATATACTATTTTCTTAAAATATTATTTCATAGAAAATGGTGTTACCTCCTATCAAAGTCCTCACGAAGTCTCTCATACCAAAAAACACTATTCCTTTATTTTTATTTTAAATGACAAAGTACTATATGGAACAGCACTAATCAATGCCAGTTTGGGGTATTTAAAAAAGTCTCAAGATCCACTCCCAGCATGACAGCATGAAAAGCTCTGCAGACCTGCTCTCCAAAGACACTAGTGAAATTTGTTTGAACCATTTAAAGACTGGCAATGGAGTTCTAAGAGCGCAGAGAAAATTAAAAACATCTCAAGAAAATGTAGTAAAATTTGGTAAGAACAATGAATCTGTGGTACTTGTGGTACCAGAACCAAGACCGCTCTCCTTCCTTCCTCCCCTCCCAATTCCGTGACAAGCGCACTGAGAATACTGGGGCCTAGGTCACCTTTGCCTCAGTTCATTCATAAAACAGAGGTCCAGGCCTGAGAAGACAAGGTGAAAAATTTGAGGAGACAGCCCCTATTCCTCCACCCACTACTGGCTGAACTTCTAAGTGGGAGAAATTTGCACACCTCTGTACTCATTCTAGCTTTGAGCCAGAACTGTGGCTCAAAGTTTTTCCTGGGAGAGAAGCAGGTTGTAAAACGGTCATAAAGAAATGTATAACACCATTAAGAGCATTAAAAAAGGCTCTCAAACGAGATCCAGCAAAACATAAAGACACTGGCTGGCGTAGCTCAGTGGACTGAGCAGGGGCTTCGAACTAAAGCATCGCAGGTTCGATTCCTGGTCAGGGCACATGCCTGGGTTTCAGGCCACATCCCCAGTGGGGGCCAAGTGAGAGGCAACCACACATTGATGTTTCTCTCCCTCTCTTTCTCCCTCCCTTCCCCTCTCTAAAAATAAATAAATAAAATATTTAAAAAAACAAACAAAAACATAAAGACAATTACACATGAAGGTAAGTGAAATTTATCCCAGCAACGTGAAGTTGGTTTAAAATCCAAAAATCCGCCCTGGCTGGTGTGTTTTGACCCAGTGACTCCACTTCTGGGAGTATATCCAAAGATACTGGAAGCATTAATTTGAACGAACATGAACAACCCTATGTTCACTGCAGCGTTATTTACAATCACCAAGATATGGAAGCAGCCCAAGTGTCCATCAGTAGATGAGTGGATAGAACAACTACGGGACATATACACAATGGAACACAACTCAGCTGTAAAAAAAGAAAAAAAGTTTTACCCTTTGTGACAGCATGGACGGACCTGGAGAACATTATGCCAAGTGAAATAGGCCAGTTAGAGAAAGACAAATAGGACTTCACTTATAGGTGGAATCCAATGAACAAGCTGAACTAACAAGTAAAATAGAGACAGACTCATAATTACAGAGCAGGCTCACCAGCTATTGGAGGTGGGGAGGTTAGCGGGTGGAGGGATCGAACAAAAAGGAGAAAGGACTCTAAACACGGACAACAGTGTGCCGACTGCAGGGGGAAGGGAGGCTGTAAGGAGGTTAAATGGTAATGGGAAAAAAAAAAGGTAAAAAAAATAAAGTAAAAAGAAATGAATCCTAGATAGTTTTTCCTTCAAATCAAATGTCTTGTTAAATAAATTTGTTAAAAAATTTACAAAGGTTATAATGGTACATTTTATGTTATATGTATTTTATCATAATTAAAAATCTCAACCATTAAAAATATTCAATTAGAAAACAGACAGACAAAAGACAGAATGAGAAATTTCACCAAGAATATACAGATGGCAAATTAAGCAGATGAAAAGATGTTCAACATTGTTAGCCATTATGGAAATACAAATTAAAACCACAATGAGGTATCATTAAAAACCTATCAGAATGGCTAAAATAAAAACCAGTCACAACACTAAATGCTGTTGAGGGGTCAGAGAAAGCAGATCACTCATACACTATTCACAGGAATTGCAAAATAGTACAAACATTCTGGAAAACTGTTTAGTTTTTCAAGAAAACTAAATATTCAATTATCATACAATATAGTAGTTTCATTATCTTGGAGAAATAGAGATTTACATTCATATTAAAAAACCTATACATGAATGTTTATAGTAGCTTAACTCATAACCCAAATTACATTCATATTAAAAAAACCTATACATCGTTATTGTAGTTGGAGGCTTAAAGGTACTTAGGCTTCAAATTTGACTAATTAACCCTTTTAGACAATCTGCCACATATGCTAGGGGGTACGATAAGTGAAAACAACCCACTTTGAGGTAATGTGTGGGAATGAAGCAAGGTCACAGAGGGAGTTAATACTCTCTCTCACCTTACTCTTGGTGAACTGGCTAATGCCAGGGCTGGAACAGATAAATTACAAGATGAACCTGGAATGTCTTAATAGTGCCAGAAAATAAGAAAGTACTTAAAAAATGAGGAGGACATCTCAAAAAGACACAGGAGTCAGCTCTTTAACAGGCTCCCATTGGCTAAGTCTTGGATAATCTGAGCAATAAATCACGACAGTAAATGGGTTAAACCATTTAATAATAAAAGAATCCACAAGTCCATATCAATGATATTAATCAACTAATTAATGGGGCAGAGGGGAAAGCTCTTCCATAAAGTAGAATTCCAATTAATAATGTAGAGTGAATAATGGGATCATCAATGTGTTATTGGCCATCAACACAATAATCTTTCCCAAGCTAGGACTACCAATGGATGTTAAAATGAATGGACAAAAGTGCAATGAGAAAAATATGTCTACAGTTTCAAAATGTCTGCACAAGGTATTTCTTGATTACAAAGGGAAAAGTCATAATTGCAGAGAAACCTGGCAAACATCATATTAACCAGGCGTCTAAATTAATCAACCCTAATGGTACAGACTGCAGACCCAGGCCCTTCACCTCCCCCTCATGATGTGCTGAAAAGGCTATACCACCAATTCTGTAGCATTCCTCCCATAAGTGCTTAAGCTCAATCTAATTGTGAGGAAATATCAGACTACTGCAAATTGAACAACTTTCTACCAAATACCTGCTCTCTATTTCTCAAAAGTGGCAAAGTCATGAAAAACAAATGGGGAGAAGAAAAAAAAAGAAGACTAAGTGGCCCAGACTGGGGCAGACTGAAGAGACTTAACTGAAAGCAACATGTGTAACGTGTGACCCTGCATGGCATCCTGGACCAAAGGCCATCACGTGCAAAATTTATAAAAGGCCAGACTGTAGTATTACAGCAATTTTAACCTCCTGATTTCGGTAACTGTACTGTAGCTACAAAAGAAACATACTTGTTTTTAGGAAGTATATAACGAGAAGTACACACACCTAATCTCAAATGTCTCACAAAAAAATTACATAGTGAGAGTGCAAAAAAGAGAAACATAACAAAGCAAAAATATTACCATTTGTGGAAAGAATCTGGGCAGTTTTTTTAAATAGGGGAATTCTTGATTAATCTTTCGGCAACTTTTCTTAAATATGAAATAATTGCAAAATTGTTTAAAACCAAAATTAACTCAGCTTGGAACCCAGGGACGAGAGAGAGGAAACGAATTCAAGTCCTTCCTTCAAGACCCTTTATTTATAAGGATTATCAAAAAAATATGCTAACTGTCCCCACTTTCAGCCCTATTTAATATGCTTCTAGTAACGGTCCCTCGGGTGGTTTTTAACAGGGGTTAGTGTGAGACACTCACATCGTTTCTTCATCAATGTCATTTTCCTCTGTGTTACTTGTGGCCGTGGAACTGGCAGAGGAGCTGCTGCCGTCGAGGTGATTTACTTCATCTTCGCCAACAAGATCCAGATCCAGATCCCCGTCCGAAAGCTCATGCTAGAGCAACGCAAAGAAATAAGATTTTAATCTCCAAGGATAGTTCAATATGGCCCAAGCACCAAACAATAATGTAATCCTCTGAATTCTCTGCTCCCGTGCCTAGGCAGCTGAGCCCTGTGGAGAAAATCTCACGAGCACATTACCTAGTACTACTAACAATTTATTGCTGCCACTCAGCTTGGCCCTAAATGTAACCGGCAATATTTCATATATTGTGTCAGCTTTCAGTAAGACTCCATACAGAGTAACAATCCAAATTATCATTCCTCAAATCTTCCCTAACCTCTATTACCTGCAAGGTCATTGTAAAACCCTGTTACTGATATGCACACAAAAAAAATACAAGTAAACATAAATCCCCCCAACTTTCAGCTTCCCTCCCTGTAAACTCTATCCTACCCTTCCTCCACCTCATCCTATCAAAAGGTTAACCTGAGTGGCTCCTTTACAACACCTAATAACCTCCTTAAATATGCTGTTTCGTCAATACCTTAAACTTGTCTTCAGTCTCTCTCCCTGATGGCTCCATTGTAATGTATACCTGAAGTCTCAAAAAGCTGTCTCTGCATCTCTGTTTTACTTTAAACAAAAACAACCACTTCTTGAATTTTCAATCTGGGTATTGTTTAGCTGGGACAAAACCTGGCTATTTCCCAAATCATAAATCATCTATCTACATATGCAATGGTAAGGTATTTACTAGTTTCAGTGAATGGAAATAAAACATTTAAAATTCACAACCTATATAGGTTCTAGAATGCACACCACAGCTTATTTTGTAGAGTGTCATTTTCTAAAGTAAATTAATTTTAAAACCCTACAACATGTTGATTCAGCAACTTCTGACTTAACACTTCCAGAAGGGCGTACACTAATAATAAATATAAACGGACAAGACTTTCAGCATACTGATCCCCTACATAATACCAAACACAAGTCTAATTATTACATGATAATCTTCATGCTGAATCTTCTCCTCATCTTCATCCTCCTTGGCCTCTCTTACAGAAGCTGAAGTAGGACCGTCCGGGAGAAGGATGTCAACAGCGGACCCAGACTTCTTGGATCGTGCCTCGGGAGTGTCGTCATTTTGGGGGCTAAGATGATTAGCTGGTGGTGACAAATCTCTTGATTTCTGAGTTCGAGATAACTCAATAGTAAGTCTCTTTTAAGACAAAAGCAATACAAATAAACATGAGTCATAAGCATGAGTCATTTTTTGCTGTGGTACAGCAAAAAATATTTTTTAAGTGAAACAATATATTCATATGTTCCTAAAACCATTTCTTGTACCATCTCTCTCATGACCTTCTGCTTACGGAGGAATCTATGACAAAGAAAAACTGCCCAATTTATTCTCATCCTTCTCCTATCCAGTCTAAGCTACGCATACACTTGGCAAACTCTACATAATTAGAAACAATCTTAAGTGTCACATTTAACATGAAAACCTCTGAAAGTATGTATTCATTCATATTTTCCTCCCTCATCTATTAACCACTCTTGGCACTTCAAACCTTCCACCCTGTATCATTTTCCATTGGCAAAAAGAAACATTCCTTACATAATTTAGTCAACCCTGTAAAATAAAAATTAACTGACCCTCCCCAGAGTTCAGTTCAACAACGCTGAGGATTTGAGATGTGGCAACTTTCAGTTGTTCTATAGGTTTGAATCCTCTAAATTCAAGACAGCACAGAGGAGAGAAATACAAAAGTCACTGAAAGAAACACAGAGATAACCTCAAACTATAGCATTACTGTAATACAATTGTTTAAAATTTTTTTTTTATTTATTTTTAGACAGAGGGGAAGAGAGGGAGAAAGAGAGGGAGAGAAACATCAATGTGTGGTTAACCTCTCATGCACCCCCAACTGGGGACCTGGCCCGCAACCCAGGCATGAGCCCAGACTGGGAATCAAACTGGCGACCCTTTGGTTTACAAGTTGGTGCTCAATCTACTGAGCCACACCAGCCAGGGCTGTAATACAATTTTATGCAGTGATGCAAATGTTTTTATATGCAATTGCCAATACAAGCATTTAAAATGTGGTCAGTGCACCTAAGGAACTGAAAAATTTTTTGTTTTAATTATGTTTACATAGCCATATGTGACTAGTGACTACTGAATAGTAGAGAATTAGAGGTTCAAAGATGGTAAGGATAAAGAACAAGGTAAGTGGATTTTTCTACAGAATTATGAACAGCAGTAAATATCCAAAATCTAATTACAAATGTTAACAGGCCAGTAAGACAATGAAATACTAAACCACCAAAATATGTATTTTTTGCTTACCTCTTTAAGATTATTTATTTGTTGGATATAGCTAGTCTGTGCAGCCTCCAATTGAGTAATATACCAATGCTGGTCCCGGCATTTTTGAAAGAAAGTTGGTGAACGAACCTGAAACCTTAAAAGAATAGCTGCACATGAAAAATAATCCAAACAGTAAAATATTATCAACCAAGCCTTGAATCTATAACTATAAATTCTAAAATGTCAAGTTTCATTACACTGTAAGGCCAAAGTTAAAATGAACTCAAGAGCTCCTCACATTCACCATCCATACATACAGTTCACAAATCATAATAAAAAAAGGTTCTGAAAAGTCATCTGTAAGTCAGTTGTCTAAACCTACTGTAGTTTTCTAAATAATTAACATGACCTATCATGATTAACCTATTAAAGCATACTTACTATAATACTCTAGCTGAAATTCAACACTGACCATGAGTCAGGAAGAACAGGACCATACAATGCGAGGAGGAAGCTCCCACTTTCTTTCCCCTTTCTCGACTAGGTCAGACCATAGCAAAATAGGCAGTTTGTTTTAGGCACTGCTTTTTCCCCTTCCTTCTTGCACCTCACATTCCTGTATTTCTTGCTCCCCAGTAAAAAAATCATTGTCAAATTCCCAACCCTTCCAGATAGCAGTTTAAAATCAAAACTCTCCATGTATTACAATACGGTATATTTTAACTAGAGTTAAAGAAAAAAAAACCACACAAGTACCTATATTAAGGCCTATTAATGGAAAAATGGCAGGACCTTAATATATTCAGGGCTATCCATAGTTTTAAAAAAAAACTAATACTTATTAAAACAAAAAACAAAACACAACAAAACTTCTGTTTTTGTTACAAAGTCAAACATGACTCCGTTTACAGCGAAAAAAATTATAGTAATATATAAAGAGTCATACAAGACTAATTTGGAAGCCTGTAACATAAGGCCTTGCCAACCTTATGTTCACTATCATTCCACTTCTTTTCCTGGATTTCACAGCTAGCATAAGAACCTGCCGACCATCTGACCGTTATCCACAACAGGTCTCTACTTTCTCGTAAGGATCCTCACACATCAGAGGGCGGGAATGATTTACCCAATCACCATTCTGCGTGGGTACTGCCCAGACAATATACACTAATAAGACACTGGTAAGACTTTCTGAAGAGTAGTATTTTTGAATGACTAATAAAACCATGGTCAACCCTGCATATTATTAGAATTTGTGCCATTAGAACAACAGGAAGCACAAAATTCTTTAAATTTCTTTTTAATAAAAAAAAATATATATGTAGTTATAGAAAAGCCTTAAGTAACTTTCTAATACGTACATATAAAATTCCATTACAGAACAAACTTTTTTTATCTGTCCATCTTATCTTGAGTTTCCTGACGACAAAAACCATTTCTTACTCTCAATATTAGCTCAATGACAGGCAGAGACTCAGTAAATGTTGCCAAATAAGTGATAAACACAACAGGAATCTGTTCCTGTACTAAGTCTGTAAGAAAAAGTCGTTATAAACAGGATGGCCTAAATAAAGAACTACAGGTAGGATAAACTGCATTAAAAAAGAAAGCCCACACAGATTGCCACCAGGAAAATTCAATGTTACCACTACTCCAGCAAGGAGAGGACTAAGGGTGTAAGAAGGGCTCTTTTTGTAGGCTGATGTTTGAATAATTTTGCAATCTTCTCTAAGGTAAAAGTGTGAGATTGCAACTAATTATTTCTTTTGGTGAATAATGTTTTTAAAATACAAAAAATTAAAAGGTTATAAAATGGAACTAAACTAATCCCCCAAAGATGACAAAGCCACAAATGTGTTTTCTACATTAAAAATGTAATAATCTTTTTTCACTTCTTGTTCTCCCAGGGAAGTTATAAAAAACACATAATAGTAAAGGAGGATGTAACAGCAACTCATCCAGCATGCTTAAGAACAAAGGGCTCAGACTAAGCGAAATTTAAGAGTATATCTAACTCCCTCCAAAGGAAAAAAGCTTTTAAAATGGTCTTGATGAAAGCTTTCTAAACTGTTAAACACACTGCAACCTCTCAGTTCAAAACACATTTGAGTCTATCTTTTTAAATCCTCATCCGAGGGCATTTTTTCATTGCTTTTACAGAGAGGGGAGGGTAAAGAGGGAGGAAAAGAGAGAAACATTGATGTGAGGGAGATGCATCAATTGGTTGCCTCTCGCACATGCCCAGACTGGTGATCATAAGCACCTGGACTGGGAATTGAACCTGCAACCTAGGTATGTGCCCTGACCAGGAATTGAACCTGCAACCCTTTGGTTACAAGATGACACTCCAACCAACTGAGCCACACTGGCCAGGGCTGAACCTATTTTTTAAATACTCAAGCCCTCATTTTTATCACCAAATTAAAACCTCTTGTAATGATGACCAAAGCTTCTGACTTGTCAAGTTTACCCTAACATTAAATGTTTTTTTTGTGGCTTGAAAGTTTGTCCTGTCCTTTCTTGAAAATAATACACCAGCTACTATCACTTTATTTTCCTCAGTTTTTATCTCTATTCCCTTACTTTTAATTTGCTATTATCTAAAAGGATCTGAAAATCTTTTTGTGAAATTAAGCTTGTAAAACCAGTCGTCCAAATATGAACAAAGTCAAGTGAGAAAAATAAGTCTGTGATTTTTCACTATTTTCTGATTTACAAATAGTGAGGTTGCAAGAAGTTCAACAGATAAATGGGACCTTAGAAGTACTTTCCTTTTTATGGAATTACTAACTAGATGTTAAACACATTTCTAAACAACTTATCACTAACTACACAGGACTCCTAAAATGCAATGGCTAAGAACACAGTGAGGTTATGGTTAGTATGAATTTCAATATTCATCTTTGTTAAATGAATAGACTTTAAAAGAAAGTTCTGGTGACATTATTGCCTCATAATAAAAGCTACAACATCAAATGTTTCCTACCTTAAAATCACTGTATCATTTTGTCGATTCAAGTATCCTTCATTTGCAAGTAAGTCCAAACGGAAAAATCTATTATAACCCCAGCATTCTCCAACTTCAAAGTCAGATGCAAATTCTCGAATGATATTTTTTGTAGGATCATTGCAGGACTGATGAACCATTTCTACACGATATTCATATCTCAAATTGAAAAAGAGAGTATTAATATAGTTGGTGAACCAGAATAAAAAACAGATGAAATGATTACTTGAAAAGACACTTATCAATATATACAATTACATTTCTTTCAGAGGGACTGTACTACTTATAAAGACAGCAACAATGTGAATGGGTTACCACAACATGACTGGCACCAGGTCCTTCTTTCCTCGCAGTGTTTATCTACTCAGCAGGTATAAAATATCACCTCAGTAAATAAATACGTTTGTATAAAATAGTACTTTCTAAGTGACTTTTTGTTTGTTTTGGCACATCTACAGATTTTTTCATATAGTCATCACCTATTATTTCCTCACATGTAAAAATTCTGCCATTTTCTTTGAGATTTATCACTATCCAACTTTAAAATAAACAAATTTCGAAATATTCTACTTCATTTTTCCAACTCAAGTTATAATAAATTAAGTGTGCATTCAGAAATTTAAGCCTATAAACTTTTCTAGCAGAAAACAAGTATATATCAGGAATGCCAATATATTCAGATTTCCCTATTTTACAAAGTATAAAACTTTCAAGTCCTCAAACTCATTTTTTTTACCAATAAAGCACTACTACCACAGAAAGAAAGAAAGGGAGGGAGGGAGGGAGGGAGGGAGGAAGGAGAAGAACTAAAGATAATTAGAAGGAACACTCAATATTAATGTGGATAAAAAAGGGGGTTCCAGCCCTGGCTGGCATAGTTCAGTGGATTGAGCACGGGCTGCGAACCAAAGTGTCGCAGGTTCGATTCCCAGTCAGGGCACATGCCTGGGTTGCAGGCCACGGGCCCCTGCAACCGCACATTGATGTTTCTCTCCCTCTCCCTCTCTCTCTCTCTCTCTCTCTCTCTCTCTCTCTCTCTCTCAAAATAAATAAAATCTTAAAAAAACACACAAAAAACAGGGGGTTCTATGGAAAGTAACCTCACAGGGTGATCTGATCAGAAATTCCTAAGTGGGCAGGTCATGGTGGTAGTCACACCCCAGGCTTGTAACTTCTTTCGTGAAAGGTTTTAAGCTATTCCGGTCACTCTTCTTGCGCATCTAGGTCAGCACACCTAGAAGTAATATCCCTGTAATATTCAGAAGTAATATTCAGCCTCAAGAGCACACAATCTTAACTATCCTTTCATCCACTCCCCTCTTTGTTTTCTTAAATCTTACATCCCCTCCTGAATTTGAAACGCACAAAAGTAGCTGCAAACCTGCTATTCTTGGGAGCATCTGAAGTTTTGCTCCCTAGCATATGTGATCAGTTGGGCTCAATAAATTTTAATAAAAATTTTCTGTAAGTTTGGACATTCTTACATCTATAGTAGCCATAAAAGTTACTTTTTTGGTGGAGGTAAATTTTGTGTGTCTTTTTAATTTTACTTTTCAACTACAGTTTTTATATTTAATACTACTTCGTATTAGTTTTAGGTATACAGTGAGGTAAAGGCAAATTTTTAAAAGGAAAACACAATAGTTCAACCTGATTATTTCTATTGGCAAAGGCAAAAGAAAAAAATTAGAACTCTTTACCTACAAATATCATGCATATTTCTTTAAGTACTGCCAAATGATTTTTATATTAGTGTCTCTCACTGTACGTTATTAGATTGATGACACAAAAAACTAACCAAGATAAAAGCTGTGATGTCTGTCGGGATTTTAAGGAAATTGTAAGGCCAGCTATGTAGTACAAAGGGTACCACTGTATGTCCAGATATAAATCCAAATACTGATGCACAATTGAGTTTGACAAGGGTGCCAAGATCTTTCAATGAGGGGGGGGAGGTGTCTTTTCAACAACTGGTGCTGAAAAAATTGGAGAGCCACATGCAAAGAATGAAGTTGAGCTCTGGCTGGTGTGGCTCAGTGGAGTGAGTGCTGGCCTGAGAACCAAAGGGTCACTGGTTTTATTTCCAGTCAGGGCACATGCCAGGGTTTTGGGCCAGGTCCCTAGTTGGGGGCACACGAGGGGCAACCACACATTGATGTTTCTATCCCTCTTTTACTCCCTCCCTTCCCCTCTGTCTAAAAATAAATAAATAAAATCTAAAACAAAACAAAACAAAAACAAACAAATTTTAACAATGAAGCTGGAACCCCATTTACAAAAACTAACTCAAAATGGATCAACAATCTAAACGTTAAGGGCTAAAACTGTAACTCTCAGAAGACGACACGGGGATAAATCTTTATGAATTCAAATTTGGCAATGGATTTGTAGATTTGACTCCAAAAGTATAAGCAACAAAAGAAAAAATAGGTAAGTTGAACTCCACAAAATTTAAAAATTTTTGTGCCAAGGATATTATCAAGAAAGGAAAAGATAATCTACAGAATGGGGGGAAACTTGTCAAATCATGTAACTGGTAAGAATTTAGCATACAAAATATATAAAGAATTCTCATAACAGTCTACACCAACAAAAAGACAAACCACCCAATTTAAGAATGGGAAATTTAAAAAGTTGTATTACAAAACCCACTCAGATCAATGAAGCTGATCATTGATATCACTAAGGGAACGCAAATCAAAACCACAATGAGATACCACTTCATACTCACTAGGATGTCTACAAAATACAATTATAAATGAAAAATAATTAAGTGTTAGTGAGGATGCAGAGAAATATGAATTCTTATAAATTGCTAGTAGGTATACAGAATGATACAGCCACTGTGGAAAACAGTTTGGCAGTTCCTCAAAATGTTCAACACAGAATTACCATATAACCCAGCACCCACATTCCACAATTAGGTATTTATTTTTTAAAAAATGAAAACTAATGTGGACATAGAAGCTTGTACACGAACATTTACAACAGAATTATTTATAATGGCCAAAAGATAAAAACAACCCAAATGTCCATCAACAGGTGAATGGTTAAACAAATAGAGGCATACATACACAATGGAACATTATTCAATCATATAAAGGAATAAAGTTCTGATACATGCTTCAACATGGGTGAACCCTGAAAACACTGCTAAGCCAAGTATAAAAGGTCCAATATTATATGAACTTTTACATGTAATATCCAGACTAGGCAAATATACAGAAAGAAAGCAAAGTACATATTGTAGTAGTTGTCTAGGAATGGGGGAAGGGAGGAATGGGCAGTGTTTACTGAATGGGATAGGGTGTTCTAGGGTGAGGAAAACATTCTGAAACTAGAGAGAGGTGGTACTGTAAACAATATAAATGCACTCAGTTATGGTTAATTATATATCATATAAATTTCACCTAAAAAGTAAACTTCTTACTATTTTAAAAATGAGTACTGTCCCTGGCTGGGTAGCTCAGCTGGTTAGAGCATCATCCTGATACACCAAGGTTGATCCCCAGTCAGGGCACACGATATGGAACAACAAATCAATCAATCTCTCCCTCTCTCCCCCTGCACCACCTCTCTGAAAGCAATGAAAAAATGTCCTTAGTTGAGGATAAAAAAAAAGTATTTAAAAACTCAAAACCTATAGAGAAACAAAAATACTAAAAAAATCTAGGGAGAAAGATATTAATACAGATGGTCAAATACAACCAGGATCAAGGCAGGTAGAAGTTTAAAATCAATATAAATGTTTTTGAAAAATCAGTTCTTTTGTAAGAAAATGAATATAATGTCTGAAAAAAAGAACATTCTTTTATCTGCATTAGTTCTTTAAAATCATGGCAAATACAAAGCTATATTTCTAATAGAGATGGCAATTAATACAAGTTAAAATATATTTTTTAAAAATTTTTATTTATTTATTTTTTAGAGAGGGAAAGGAGAGAGACAGAGAGAGAGAAAGACATCAATGTGCAGTTGCTGGGGGTCATGGCCTGCAACCCAGGCATATATCCTGACTGGGAATCGAACCTGCAACACTTTGGTTCGCAGCCTGCGCTCAATCCACTGAGCTCAATCCACTGAGCTACGCCAGCCAGGGCTACAAGTTAAAATATTTACATAGTACCTCAACCTCAACCTTACATAAAACTAAAACCTTAAATTAGAATATTCTAATTTAAATTCTTTCCTTCTATCAAACTGAAAGCCTGATAAATTTAACACCTGTTAAAAATTTTAGTCCCATTAAAATTACTCCCCCAGAAAAATTCTCTTTCCTTTAAACAACTCAAAGAAATTCCCTTCTCTAAAACAAGTCACTCAGCATATACTGTTAACAATCAATTCCAAGATGTCATTCAAGTGCAGATTTCCTGAAAACCCACACCCACGTATGCTAACACACATCTATTATGTAGAGAAATGTAAGCATAATAAAATTATGAAAGTGCTTCTGCAGGGTCCCAGGTGATATTAAAATGTGGATAATGATGTAGTTTTTATTCCACATTTTGACAGTTAAACTACCTCACTGTTAAACTCTTAATTCCATAATTGAATGACATTTCAATATTTAATGAAAAAGTATCAACACTCTTCTCTAAAATTACTGAAGTGTTAAGAAAATTAACAGATATCTGCTTCTTTCAGAACAGAACCGTCTTATTAAGGTAATTAGATAATGTCTAACCAATACACAAATTCTAATCTTTTTCAACCTTAGTATACTGAATGTTAGTATTTCATCATCTCTGATGTTACTGCTGTTTGTAAGACAATATAAACTTTTAAGTTCCTGAAGTGTACACAGTCAACAATAAAAACACCAAGATGAAACCAAAGACAACAGAAAAGTCACAAAATCTCTGTATCAGTTAGGACAGAAAGGAGAATCTTCCCAAAGCAAGAAACAGAGGTAAATCAAAAAAGAGATTAATCAAGAGACACAGAAAGGCCCAGATTAATGGTAGTGACAGGGACACGAACAAAATGCCATTATCACTGAACTGGTTACAGGAATTCTGCCCAACATCAACCTCTTCCAATCACCAGAGCTTATTTTCAGGAACTCAAACAGAAATTGGTGGTTAAGGACAAAGAATATGGAGACTGAAAAACAATCTGTGGTAAACAGAATGATGTTTAACAATGATAAACTGGAGTGAATAACTTAACTAAGACATTGTAGTCCCATCTGCGAAACGGGAGTGCTAACAGAACCAACAGATCACAAGGTGGAAACAAAGCAAAATAAATTATATCAAGCATGATTTTCAACCAGTGCACTGCAAGATTTTTTAAAACATGCAATACCTGACTATTTAGTCAGGGGCGCTGACCTCTTTTCCCTTAGACTGTCAAGTTGAAAAATGACAACAGCCAACACAACAGCCATCCAGTGTGAATAAATCAACATTATACCTATTTTTTTGTCAGACTGGCAAATACATGATTTGGTGTGCCACAGACTTTTGGCAATTAGTCTGTGTGTGTCAGGAGATGAAAAAGATGAAAAATCGCTGATGTAAAGCATAGTACATGCTACAAAGCACATATTTAGCTGTTAGATAACAATACAGTTAAGTCCACTGTTTCAAGTCACACAGGAGAACTGGAGCAGAGCCCTGACTAAACACACCTACAATTCAAAACCAGGATCCTTTCCACATCACTAGCATTTTCATGGTTGGACACACCAGTGGTGACAAGCACATTTCGTTATGGTCAGTCTCCGCCAGACGTTGCCAAAGCGGAGGCTGTGCGCCCCTGGGGGCCAGTCCTTACAATCCTTTCAGAGTCAAAAAGTTAAAACTATTTTCAAAATGCTAGATGTTATTTGTCTTTTATAATGATGGTTAAAATGTACCAGTAGTTATATAATTCATTGCCACACACTTTCAGATGAGAAAAAATTGCTATCTTTCAAGAACATCTTTAATCAAGTAGTAAAAAATGATAAATGTTATTAAGCTTCAATTCTTGGTGTCACAAAATGGAAAGCATACATAAAGTATTTGCACTGAATAGTGGTGTGCAATGGTTGTCCTGGGGAAATCACTTTGTTTCAGAGTTACAAGCTCATCAGTTACTTTTTTTGTGTGAAACATGAGACTAAAAGAACTGACAAACAATGGGTATTCAATTGTAGACATTCAATGGCAGACATCTGACAGACATTTCTGGACCAAAATAACTATGGAAAAGAACTGTCAATACTTGTTGTCAATGATAAAACATAAGCTTTGTAAAAATCATAATTCTGGAAAATTTATATATGCCACATGAGCTTAAAAGCTTTCTAATACTTTAGACTTTCCAGATGATATCAATGTGATTATTTGATATTGGAAATATGTCAACTGCATATTCAGTAAACCATTAGTTTCCAAATGATCAATTCATGATTATAAAATCGTGCAAATAAAAGATCCAATACAAGACAAAACACTGGAGTTTTTATTGTTTGTTTTTTGAGTGAACCGCTTTCATAAGGTATAACTAAATAAAGCTAAACATATTTTAAGTATATAACTTGGTAAATTTTGACATGTATACAGTGTAGGACAAAAGAGGTTTACAGTTGTTTGAATAGAAAAATAATACAGCCCTGGCTGGCGTAGCTCAGTGGATTGAGTGCGGGCTGCGAACCAAAGAGTCCCAGGTTCGATTCCCAGCCAGGGTACATTCCTGGGTTGCAGGCCATAACCCCCAGCAACCGCACATTGATGTCTCTCTCTCTCTCTCTCTCTCTCTCTCTCTCTCTCTCTCTCTCTCTCTCTCTCTCTCTTCCTCCCTTCCCTCCCTAAAAATAAATAAATAAAATCTTAAAAAAAAAAAGAAAAAAAAGAAAAAAAAGAAAAATAATACAATAATCAGCCCTGGCTGGTGTAGCTCAGTGGATTGAGCTTGGGCTGGGAACCAAAGCATCGCAGGTTCGATTCCCAGTCAGGGCACATGCCTGGGTTGCAGGCCATGACCCCCAGCAACCGCACATTGATGTCTCTCTCTCTCTCTTTCTCCCTCCCTTCCCTCTCTAAAAATAAGTAAATAAAATCTTAAAAAAAAAAGAAAAATAATACAATAATTAATAAGTAGTACAAGAATAAACTGTGTTCTGCATACTCACAGCTGTAAACCTACTTTTGCCTGTAAACTTGGGGATGATACAAAAACCTAGTGAATTGTACACTTATTTATAAAGTGAATTTGTTGGGATATAAATCAGATCTCATTAAAAAAATTCCCAACTACGTGACATTCAAAATCTGTGAGACTAGATTTTTTATATTTACTTCAACCAAAACAACTTATTGCACACAAAATAAATATAAAAGCAGATTTGAGAATCCAATCATCTTCTTTTTAGGCCATATATCAAAGATATCCAAAAATGTAGAACACATTTTCACCAAGTATTTTGCTTTACAAAGTTTTCTCAAGAAAATGTTATTTATGTTAATATACAATAAGCTATTATTTTAAAGTTAAAATAATTTTTATTTTTTTCTCTTCTTTTTTTGGATTAACCTGCAAACCAGAAAGTGAGGTGAGTGGCTATTGGTAAGCCACTCCCCTCCCCTCCTCACGTTTTTCCTGAGAATATTTACTGTTATTTTTTTTTTAAGTCTCCATCCATCACCACTGATCCACTGTATACCCTCCCTCACTTCTCAGTTTTAACTTCTAATTCAGAAAATGTCAATAGATATAACCCCCATAAAGAAAACTCCTTGGGGTTCCCAATATATGTTTTTATGTAATTTATTTTTATTTTTTAATACTTACCCAAGGACATGCTTATTGATTTTAAAAAGACAAGTAAAGAGGGAGGGAGAGAGGGGGAGAGAAACATCAGTGTGAGAAACAATGATTGGCCGCCTCTCCTACATGCCCCAATCAAGGACAGAACCCGCAACCTTTTGGTTAAAAGGAAAACGCTCCAACCAACTGAGCCACACCAGCCATGACCTAATAAATTCAAAGAGTGTAAGAGTCCTGAAGCCATACAATTTGAGAACTGCCGTTCTATGCCATCACACTATTCCCAGGACTGCATACCAGTGTACACCTTCACAAAATAGTAATTAACAAAATAGTTAAAAAATAATAAGAGGAATGAATGTAAACACACACTAAAGATGGTTATGTAATTGTATGTCTTACTTGGAAGTTTCAGGCAAGCCAGCTGAGAGTTCCAGAAACACAGACAAGTAGTAACCACGAACAACTCCATTTCCATCCTTAAAATTAAAAAGGAGTTATAGAAATATATACTCCAGATCAATTTATATTAAGTGCACTTAAACAAACAAACAAATAAAAATACTGAGTAATATCTCCTATTTGATTTGGACAGTACTTCTGAGCTCAAAAGCAATGAGAAATAATAAAAAGGCCAAAAGATTTGAGTCTAACAATCCAAAACTTTTGTTCATTAAGAAAAACACATATGAAAATATCAATACGTATGAAAAGAGTTAAGAGTTTTAACATACAAGGAACTCTTAAAAATCAACCAAGAATAGCCCTGGCTGGTGTGGCTCAGTGGATTGAGGGCTGGCATGTGAACCAAAGGGTCAACAGTTTGATTCCCAGTCAGGGCATGTGCCTGGGTTATGGGTCAGGTCCCCAGCTGGGGGCATGCAAGAGGCAACCATACAATGATGTTTCTCTTCCTCTCTCTCTAAAAATAAAAAATAAATAAATCAACCAAGAAAAGTAAAAACCCCAAGAAAAATATATTTTTTAAAAAACTCAATTTCACTAGGAATAAAACAAAAATTTTTATATTTAATACTAATAAAGTAAAACAGAAAAAGGTAATACTTGATGTTGAAAGTAATAAATATTTCTATGTTGTGTATGTTAAGTTTATAGTCATATAAGGTTCTGCCTGGCGATTGAGAAGTAGTTTACATTTCTATCCAGTACAGGATTTTGCAAAGATAATTATTCCACTATGTGTGTCTCCAGTAATCTGCTTACATGAGTACTTTTTAAAAGGATACACACTCCTACCCAGTTTATCTCCAAGTATGGTCTTTGGCTCAAAACAAACAAATAAAACACCTATAAAATGTACAACATAAAGGCTGACCTCTAAGGTACACTGGAATTTTGGGTGATGATATGTCAACATAAATTAATCAACTGCAACAAATGTGCCTATGGCTCTGATGCAGGCAGGATGTGCTGACAGTGGGAAAGGCTGTATATGCGTGGGGTCAAAGGGTATCTGTAACACTGTATTTTCCACTCAATTTTGCTGTTAACCTAAAACTGCTCTTAAAAATAAAATATACTAAATAATTTTTAAAATAAATACAAATTACCAGTCCCCAGAAACATCCATGTGCATTTACCTGTGTATTTCCTAGCTCTGTTCACTAAGAAGGCCTAGAAACAGTGACCAACCTGATAGGAATGAACGTATCTACTACCTACTGTCCAGTTAGGTCTTGAAATATAATTGCCCAAATGAAATAAATCAGGGTTATTTGGATAAAATGGCCAGTTCCAAGTACGGAATAAAAACAGTACAAGATGAGCCTACAGCATCTTGCCAAGGAAGAAATAAGGACGATAACTATGAAGGTTGACTACTAAGGCCAAAGCAAAGTGACACAGAAGTCAACATGAAGAGACTAAATGTGTGTAAACCCGTGAGTTCATAGTTTTTAAAATTTTAATTAATCACTTTCAGAGAATAAGGGAAACTGGTTGATAACAGGAAAGAATCCTGCCTCTTCTACATGAACTGCTATTGAGCAACTAAATAATAAAGGAAGTACCTCTTCGTAAAAGTTTTATAACAAATAAATGGAAAAAATAACATGAGAATATTGCTATTTTGCAGTGACAGATGTAGGCAGTGGGCATCAAGAGCTGCCAATACTGCAAAAAGATATGTGACTAGACATCATGTGATTAAAAGAACACACTACTGCATACATTCTTGCGACAGGAATAGGCTATGTATCTCATCATGCCATCAGATCCAGCTGTCAATTTGCAGAAAATATACAGATCAAAGGAACATACGGAAATGCGCAATGAGTGTGCGATCAACAAACATGTTGTGATGGCTTTCTGTATTTTATTTTTAAAAAGTTTTTTAAAATTATAATTTTAAACATGTCTTCTAAAGATAAGTATGTTCCTACAGACAGTAAATAAGATTCTTTAGTATGTCAGGGTTCATACTGTTCCTATTTAATTCGTTTTTCTATAACATTTGTAATAGAACTCATAAACATTAAAATTGTTATTAATTCCTTACTCCACCAAAAGAGTGAACTAGTGTTTCAGGGTTTCTTACAAAACCCTGAAAGGAAAGACCTTGGGTTTAAAAAAATTACTGAAAGTATAAAAAACTTACTGGGTAAACTTTTAACCTCCAGCAAAGTCCTGAAACTTGAAGAGGTGGACTGTAAACAGGATCTGCTCTCTGGCGCAAAGTGCTAAAATAATAACCATAGTAATCATAATAATCACCACCACCACCACCACCACCACCAAATCCCAAGATCAAAACCAAACCAACCACTTTATTTGTTACTTATTTCAAGCCTTGGACAAAGTAAAAGAAGGTGACTAAGCAAGATGACATTGGATAAATTTATATATACTACATCCAGAAATAAAAGAAAATTTAGTAATATTGAAATATTCAGCACTATCTTCAGTTTTGTGTTAAAAATACCCTCAAAACTGTGACATTTAAGAGAAAGGGAAAAAATAACTAAGTATCTTGAATTTAATTGCCATTTGAACAAGCAGTCTTTCACCATTAAGAAAGAAAATAGAAATGTTTCTCTTCCCATATCCCTGTAGTATAATTCTTTTTTTAATGGAAAAACGAAAGATCATGTGCTAAAACAACGTATGGGCGAAATCCTCAGAAAGTTTATATTTTAGCCACAAAATTATCCCATTAAGAAAAACACATTAAATATGGACTGATACGTAAATTCTTAGTTTGACCTTATTTTGATCATTATCACCTGGAATTTTCCTCTCCAAGGTAAGATCTTATATTTTTGGTATGTGGCCCCTGAAGACAATTTCTTAGGACCTTTTTGTTTTAAGATCTTTGCTTCTAATCTTAGAGAAAAAGCACTAATGGCTAAAATAATCAACATGTTAAGTTACAAAGCTTACAAATTTCTTGCATCTATGGCCTCTTATCCATAGTTCCTCACTTTGAGCTGAGATAAACTGGACCCCAAAGGACTTGTTCCCATCTTATTTCTGAGGATGGGTAAAGGACTCACTGATCTCTACCAATCATCCCATTCATCCCACCTTACCAGAGGCTAAGTGGACCCGCTTGTTTAAAACATGGGTTCTCTGTCCAGACTAGAGAACCAATCTGTGCTGAAAAAATAATCCAATCCAAACAAATGACCACTGTGTTTCCAACAGGCAATTTGTTTCTTCTAAGACCACACTCAATGTCACAGTTCATTACGTCTACATCCTACCCTGGAATAATACCTTCCTGACTCTTATGTATACATATAAAAATCCAGATTTTTCAAAAACTCTTACCTGAAATTCTCTAAAACAAAAGTAGCTGAATCATATGATGGTACTAATTCACTAAAAAGAAGCAAAGGCAAAATAATATTATTTGGCTTATATACGCTTAAAATTTCAATTAGTTAGAAAACAAGGTTAAGTCCCTCAGTGATATCTTAAAAATGTTATTAAACTAAGTCCCTAGGAAACATTTCTAAAACCTTATCAAAAATAACATTAAATCAAATAAATTCATAAAATCTTCAAAAGGTAACATCAAAAGTTTGCAATCAAATTGGGGACTCAACAAATACTTTATAAGATATTTTTAAAAGGCAATATATTATAAAGTATTAAAATGAGTATAAGAGACATTTAAACAGTACTCATAAAATAAAAAAAGGAAGAAACTGATGCTTAGACTGGAAACCTGAAATATGGAACCAATATAAACAGATTTAAAAACCAAAAGAAACAGCAAGAGCTAAAGACATCACAATAAATCCCCAAACTTACTTCTTCAAAACAAATTATGAGGAATACTAATAGGCCCTAAAGACTCTGAGAGTATTTACTAGCAAACAAACCTACAGAGTTTTATAGGATAAGAACACATAATCACAAAGGGGGTGTCCTCAGGACAGGCTAGCACATTAACAGTTTCTTGGCAAAGCAAGACTGCTTCAAGCAACTTGAGTGTTACACTGACTTCTCCAGAGAGAAGCCCTCCTGCAATCACAGGAGACAGGCACCAGTCCGTTTGGGGCCAAATACCCTCACATCACATGAACAGTCTGTAGCTCTGTCATGAGAGTACCACTGATGTCACAGTCACTAAACATTCATGATAAAGACACTGTCATGCATGGTACTATAACACACTGTTACACATTTAGTATATAAAACTATAAATTTACCAAACAGATAAACTGCAAGATATTTCACATCTTCAGATATATTTTCTCAAGTTCAAGTCATGAAAATTTGTGATTACCAAATTAAGATATGTATAAGATACATCCATAGCATTTTCACACTATGACAGTGCATTAAAAAAATTAGTGGTTTACCAGTAAAAATATAGATGAAAAATACATGATTCTTCCTGGCTGGCGTAGCTCAATGGATTGAGCGTGGGCTGGGAACCAAAGTGTCCCAGGTTCGATTCCCAGCCAGGGCACATTCCTGGGTTGCAGGCCACGGCCCCCAGAAACCGCACATTGATGTTTCTCTCTCTCTCTCTCTCTCTCTCTCTCTCTCTCTCCCTCCCTTCCCTCTCTAAAAAAAAATAAATAAAATATTTAAAAAAAAATACATGATTCTTTATTTTATGGTAATTATGTGTAGCTGAACAGCTCACATCTGTTTCACCCCCTTAGAGGTTATTGCCATCGTACTGATGTCACCACTCTGCCTGCAAATGACGGGCATTCCACTTTATCGTCTCAGTTTTCTTTATTTCTACACCTCCTCTGCTCTGGTCTTGATCACCGAATTCATTCTTTTTTTTTTTTTTGTAATTCTGTCGTTTACATTCTATCTCAGGACACCTATACAGTCTCATTTCCTACAACGCCCCAACAACAGCCCTACAAATTGTGGTCGAAACGATTTCTTTACTGTCCTCTAAACATAGCAGTTTTTATCATATGCACATTAGTGTGCATGTATACATACCCTATTCCCATCTACCCAATAAAATCCTATCTTCCAAGGCCTTTTCAGAATTTCTGATCTCAGTATAAAATTGAGTAACACATATCAGAATTTAATATACAATTTTCTACTATTGAATATGAAATCAGTAAAATTATTAGTTCCTCTTTCACGTCTGCTATATAGCACCTACAACAGTGCCAAGTGTGCAGTCTTTAATAAATAACACTGCATTTGTTTAATGACCCTTTATTTTCCATAATAAGAGTCATAGTTTGTGACTCAATCACCAACTATCAACAGACAGAACTTAATCCAGTCCCATGATCTCAAAGCTTAGAAACACACTGCTCTGCACATCTGAACTTCGGTATGTAACTTAATGTCAGTAAGTGCTGGCCTTTCTTATTTGGCCCTCTTTCTTTGCGGATCAATACATCAACAGACAAACACCTGTGGCCTGTATACCACCACTCACAAACTAAGTTTGTAATAAAAATTATGGTTAATTTATAAGCCAAAACTTCCAGTAAGACAGTAAACATTCCTGGTGAGAGGAAGTCCTACGGTGACGTTTACACCCACGGAAAGTGCCCTGATTATCAGACTTGTCATTTTTTTTATTTTTTAGTGGTTTCCTCTGTATTGATGTGCCTCTGTCTTCCCTCTCCCAATTTCAGTCCCTTTCACCTACCCCCCAAAAAAGGTGGTGAAAAGCAAGGGATTGTTGGGGTTCTGAGTTCCTTGGGTGGTTAGAGAGGGAACAGAAACCCAAACAGTCACTGGGTATGACAGAGACTGACGCTCAAGAAGTCTAAAGCAGAGCTGCCTGCCAAGCGGTATCAAGACAGTAGTTCACTTATACAGTGCAGAATAACTTGCTGCTCAACATTCATTTTCCAGATACCACTCCCAAAGATGGCCAAGGACCAGGCCTGGAAATCTGCATTTTTGGAAAAACACTACAGACCACTCTGACACAGGTGATCTATGTACCATACTTTGAATTGGAAAACACTTATTTTTATTTACGGTATTTATGTCAAAATTGGTTCCATTCCACTGGTGATAGAATGGTCCAAAATCAATCAATCAATCAATCAATCAATCAATCTCCAAAACTGAAATGAGTGACCACATTTTCACAGAGGCAGCCTTGGTCTCTTAGTGAACTTCTTAGTTCACCCAGATTTACTTAGTAGCACATACCCAGTTTTTAAAATAATATTCAGTGTTTTAATAAAATATGAATGTTGCATCAACTTCTGAAAGAAACAAAAACTTATCATTCAGTGAGAACTACCCCAGTTCTGGCCAGGGGGTTTGACCTTCTGTTTATAGAACTGTGGGTGGCCATGACCCTCGGGACCTTGCCTGAGATAAGGAGCCAGGGCTTACACCAGTGATTCTAAAATGGGCAATTCTGCCCCTGGGAAACATCTGGAAAGGTTTTCCGTCACAAATGCAAAGGGCAAAGTACTTTCAGTGCTACATCCTACCATACACAGGAAAGCTCCCTCTACCCCACAAAAAAAATTATCCCGCTCAAAATACCAGCAATGCCTACGCTGAAAAACCCTGGCTTATACCAGTCTAGTACAATCACAAGGCAGCTAAAAACATAACCATTTTTATAACAAAAGCTGTTTCCTAAACATACCAGTCCTCAACATGCTAGAAACTCCTGAAAGTATTTCATAAACCATCTCTAAAGTGTAAGATGAACTAAAGGCTGTCACACCAATAAATTTCTCTGAAGCAGTAGTTTCAACTCTCAACTTAGGAGTAAGCTAAGGACAGTTAAAAAGAAAACAGTGCAAATACCTAGCTGTATCCAGTGTTACAGACTGAACCGTGTCCCCAAATTCTTATGTTGAAACCCTATCCTCCAAGGTAACTGTATTTGGAGACAGGGCCTTTACGGAGGTACTTAAAGTTAAATCAGGACCCTAACCCAATATGACTCCTTTCTTCAGAAGAGGAAAAAACACTAGAGACTGAGCTCTGGGCATGCAGAGAAAAGGTCACGTGAGGACACAGTGAGGAGGCAGCTGTCTACCAGCCAAGAAGAGAGGCCTCACCAGAAATCAAATTTTCTAGCATCCTGATATTAGACTTCTTTCCCCCAAATGGAGAAAAACTTCTGCTGTGTAAGCCATGCAGTCTGGAGTATTTTGTTATGGCAGTCAAAGCAGACTAATACATCATCAAGATTTTATTTCAAATGACCTGGGGTAAGAGGCAACACTGCTAAATTTTCAAAAGAATCCCAAGTGAATCTAACATACAACCAGTGTTAAGAACTACTGTTTTTAACATGACAGGGTAATCTAAACATGCTTAAAAGAATACACTGTTTAGAAGACTTCTAAGATGGCCCAAGATAAAAACTAAAAAGATACACAGAATGCAATCAACGGTTATTTCCAGATCTCTTAGGGTATGGAGATAACATCATGTCACTTTCAAAATCTTTTGGCATTTCATCCATTTTTGAGTTTTCCTTTTGACTACATACATGTGAATGAGTTAAAGTCACTGTGTAATAAGATATAAATAAGCTCAAAAGGTCAATAAAAGAATGAACATGAGACAGCATAGATGCTAAATCAAATAAGTCAGACAGAAAAATGCTCTGTGATCTCACTTATATGAGGAATCTAAATGAGGTGCACAGCATGGTGATGGCAGTTACCACTGTACTGCATATTTGCATCCTGATATCGAGAGAGATCTTAAAAGTTCTCATCACGAGAAAAATATTTTTTCTATGTACAGGGTGGTGGATGTAAACTATAAACTAGACTTATTATGGTGATCATTTCTCAATATATAAGATATGGTATCATTATGTTGTAACCTAAAACTAACAGGGTGTTATGTTAATAATAATTTAAAAACAAGAACTCATGAAATAAGATGTGATCAATTATTATTTTTTAATGTATGGGAGATGAAGCTCCAGGAAGAAACCACTTCCAAATTCACTAACATCTTCTCTTTACAGTCAAAAGTGTATAATTCCATAAGGATTTTTTAAAACCAAATTTACACGCATAAATTAAAATTCGCTAGACCACATCACTATAAACATCACCTTAAAAAATGAAAAACATTTTTTGAAACAAGTACATGTATGTACACATAAACTTAGTATGAAAATAAAATGTAAAAGTGTGCTGTACCTGGTAAAATCCGGCGGAACGGGAGTGGTGACGAAGGACGCCATGGGCTTTCGATGAACTTGCTGGAACATCATGAGGATCTCTGAGCTCTTAGATATCAACTCGCTTTTACTACAAGATCGCAACTGTGAGGAAAAAAATGACCTGAATCAACAAAATTACTGTTCATTGGCTGCTCAAAATCCCTAATAAACAAAGAAAAGAAAAATTGTTCTGGTTATATAGAGGGAAAAAAAAAAAGAGATAAAAACAAAATGACTTGAAGTGGGCTTGAAAATTAAAAATCTATTAAAAAATGTAGATGTATTTATTCCCATTCTAACAGTAAAGTCATTGATTGTCTTTTATTTTAAAGCACTTTTCTTTCCTCATATATTAGGGTAAATTCAATTTTAAAAAGATTTATTTTTTTGAGAGGGGTAGGGAGGGAGAAAGAGAGGGAGAGAAACACCGGCCAGCCATCTCTTGTATGCAACCAACTAGGGACCGAACCCGCAAGCCAGGCATGTGCCCTGACAGGGAACTGAACCCACAACCTCTCACTTTGCGGGACTACACCCAAGCAACTGAGTCACACAGGTCAGGGCAGGGTAAATCCACTTTTAAACAACTACAGATATATTTTAGACTGCTATAGTGAATCCACTGTGTATATTAATCAACAAACCCCTATAGGTTTATAGCTTTCAAACAAGGATTTCTCAAATACATACCAGGGAACCAGAGAAACCTTAAGCTGTTAATACACCTAAAAAAGTTTTAACCTATTATCAGCTGGGGAACACTAAGCTATGCCAAAGGCAAGAAGGGAGAAATCCAACTTTAGTAAATAAGCATGGCAGTTAAAAGACTACTCATTTTGTATTCAAGAAGTCCTACTTCTGCCACACACTAATTATATGACTCTGAGAGTCAGTCTATGTGTAAAACTGGAGTAACAGCTATGCTTGCTTTGCTGGGTTTAACAATTGTGAAGCTGTACATGAAACAGCTTTGTGAACTATTAAGTGTGTGCTCCCAAACTCTTAGGTTGCAGTCCCAGTCCTCAATCCCTCAGAATATAACTGTATTTGGAGACAAGGTCTTCAGGAAACAGAGAAAATACAGCCATTTATTTACAAGTCAAACAGAGGAAACTCAGGGGAAACCAAAGTTGTCAATACCTTGACCTTGGACTTTTAGCTTCCAGGAAAATGAGAAAATGAATTTTTATCGTTTAAGCCTCCTACTCTGTGGTATTTTGTTATATCAGCAGAGCAAACTAATCAACTGCCAGATGGATGATATTCATAAAACTCACTACAACTGGATTTTGTAACTTTTCAATGACAGCTGCTTATATTTCATCAAGAATAATGACATGTGATTGGTATATGATAAATATAAAAACTTAGAGCTTTTGTTCAAATATTTATTGAATACATACTGTGAATATCCTTCTTTGACCACATTTCCTCCAAGTCACTCACTCCTTCAACTGCAGTTTACTACTGCTAAACAGTACATGTGTTTCTACCAGTAGTGTGTGTCTATGCATATCCATAAACAATGTTCTGAATGTCTTCACACTTCACATAAAGACTATAAGGCTATACACATATACATCTCAACATGGAGCCTACATTATTAACATTGCTTTTGTGATTTATTAATATTCATAATCTCATTTTTACAGCTTTAAAGAATATCATCATGTGAATATTATACAATATATCTATCTTCTTTATCAATGGACATTATTAAAAATAACTCTGGAGTGCATAGTTCCTTGTACACATGTGGGAGTTTCTCTGGACTGGAATTACTGGTTACAGCATACTGACAACTTTAGCAAACTGCTCTCCAGTATTTGCAGACTCGTTTCCATCAGCAGTGTATTAGTTCCCTTTGCTGTACATTCTTGTCAACATTTACATTTTAACTTACACATTTTGCCTATATGAGAATAAAATAGGATTTTGTTGTGATTTTAGTTTATACATATCAGATTATCAATGAAATTTCACATTCACTGGTCATCTGAACATCCGGTTCTGTGAGCTACCTGTTCATATCCCTTGTCCAATTTTCATGAGATTGTTTTAGCTATTTATGATTGAGCTGTATTTCTTTAGGAATTCCACATACCCATTCTTGTTCAGTCTTAGGAATGACAAATATCTCTTCCAAGTCTATGGGCTGTCACCCTAGTTTTTGAAGTTTTAGTTTTAATGCGTAATTAGATATAGAACAATGCAAATTAAAGCCATAATGAAATACTATTACACTCCTATGACAACAGCTAAAATTCAAAAGACTGACTATATCACATGTTGTCAAGGATGTGCAAGAACTGGTACTCTATTCACAGACTACTGATGGAAGTATCGAACAGTGCGGTCACTTCAGGAAACAGTTGGCAGTACAAAAATCGTTAACCATTCATCTACCATTCGACCCAGCCATTCTTTCTTGGATGGACCCAAGAGAAAAGGAAATATACGTGTAGATCTGTACATGAATGTTTACTGTAGCTTTACTTGTAAAGGCCAAAAACAAAAAGCAACCCAAATGACCATAAACGGCTGAATGGGAAAACAAATGGTGGCATATAAAAAGTTGGTAGTAATAGAAAACTACACAGCAATTAAAAAGGAAAGAACTATTACTGATGTATGAACAAATCACAGAATAATTTTGCTCAAAGAAGACATAAAACAAGTACATAATGTGTATCATTCCCATTCATAAAACTCTAGAAAATGCAAACTTATCTGTAATGACAGAAAGCAGATGGGGGATTACTTGGAGGGGGAAGCGTGGGTAGAAGCAGGAGAGCTTACAGAGCCACAAAGAAAGTTTGGGAGAAAATGATGGCTTCACAGGTATACACATTTGTCAAAACTTACCAAGATATACACTTTAAATACATGCAGTTTATCTCATGCTGATTATTCCTCAAAAAAGCTGTTTACAAAAAAAAGCCACACAGATCCATAGATGCCCGCCCTTACTTCACCTGGTTTGAATTTCTCATGTCAATTTAGTAGAAGGTTGCTGGCTTAATTCTCTGGAGGGGACAAAATAAAGTCTCTGGGCCAAGGGAACATGTACAACTATGAGTGGGAGTACTGAAGAGAAAAACAAGAACATTTAAATAAATATGTATATACTGAATGCTACCAGCCAAACTGTCAATCAATAGTAAAGACTGAATACAAATTATTTTCAGTCTTAAAAATTTATTCTAATTATCCTTTCAGGAAAGCTACAAGAAGAAGTATAATACCAAAACAAATGAATAAACCAAGAGGGCAAAAGCCATGGGAATCAGGAAATGTGATTCAACCCAAGACAAAAGTAAAGGAAATCCCTAGGATGATAATTAATATAACAATCCCAGGAGACAGCTATGTATCAGGCATAGAGAAGAATTTAAATATTCCAAAAACCAAATTCAAGACGTGGATACAGTGCTCACTTCAGCAGCACATATACTAACATTTGAATGACAGAGATTAGCTTGGCCCTTACACAAGGATGATACGTTAAAAAAAGAAGGCAAATGAATATATGTCAAATAACTATTTACCACTAACTATACACTTCACACCTACCTACCCGCAATCTAAAACATAAACTCTTAAGAGACAGATATTTTTCTATTTTGTCCACTGCTGTGTTCCAAGCATCTAAAACAATGCCTGCTATTTATTTGGTACTTAACTAAAATTTCCTTAAATAAAAATCCTAATTTTAGGATAAGAATCACTACATGTAAGTAACTGACAATAACATTCTATCTCAAAAGGCACCATTTAAATCACAATGTCAGATGATTTTAATCATTTATAGATTTAGACCCTATGCTCTATGCCCAGTAAAAATAATTCCATCCTTAAATTAAAACTAATTCCATTAGTTTTATCTAGTTCCCAAACATGATGGAGAAAACTTGAGATCAGCTAAATTTTATTTCATAAAAATCCCCAGTATAGCACATATATCACCAGATCTTTTGATTTTCTATAATGTCTATTAAAAATTTTTTAATTCATATGGCCAAAAAGGATAAAGACTTTATTACATTTAATATTTCATTACCTGGTGCTCTACCTCCTGAAGTAAGGATTCCAAAAGTTCCGTTTCTTGTGTCAGAGAAGTCTTCTGACCTATTTAAAAATAGCAAAATACTAACACTCGGGCTCATTATTGGTTTAAGAATGAAATTAACTGTCACTAAATACCTTCAATAACAAGGAATCAATTTTAGGAAAGCAAAACTTCATTACAGCTACCTTAAAATTATTTTCCAGAGCTTTAAAATAGGTTCAATTTAATATTGCAGCAGCTTTGACAAGAGGATTTCAGAACCAACTCTAACTACCATTTTAAGTGAAATGCAATTTAGGTCTAGTAAATTCACCTGAGAAATATACAATGCTAATTTACTTTGCAAAGAAAGTAATGTCACTGCCTATGCAAAAAGACTATAAAAATCTAGAAAAGTAATTTTTTTACTCAGTCAACCATTCGGAAATAATTCCTCCCCCAAATTTAACTTGTGGCTTAAAAAGAATGTAGTAAGTTGGCCATATATTTGGGTTAAATGTCAGCAAAAGGTACAGTCTTTGAATATAACTTGTAAAAAAAAAAAAAAGAATCCCCCCAAAGGAAAATAGTCTCAAGAAACTAGAAACACAGAGGGATAAAGGAATTATTATTACAGAAACTATTGAAGAAACTACTTGGCATGTTAAAAAAAAAGTCAACACAGTAGGCATACTTGCCTGATCAGACCATGTTCTTTTTAAATCACAAAACCTGAAGAATCACAAAACCAGTTACATTAATTTGGAGTAATGTTTTTGAATAAGGGAACACTTAAAAGGAGGAACTTTTATTTCTTAAATCAATCTTTTGCTAGCCTAAGCAACTCACCAATCTTTTCAAAGATTGAACCTCAAGAAGACTCAGAGCACCAGGGACCCCAGCAGCACAGAAAAACACTCACCCATGAGGGTTATAAGCTTGTTCTTCAGCTGTGTGTCAAGCCGAGCAATCATCATCTCCACTGCATTCCTAATTTCCCGGACACGCTCATCTTTTGCATTTCTTACAGCTTCTACATTTCTTTCCTAGAAAATAAACAGGTAAAAAAAATTTTAATTGAAGAATTTTTAAAACAGAAGCAAACAGACATTAAAGTAATCACTGCAGTTCTTAAGGCCCATTGATTTCCTTTTTAAAAATTATAAGCCAATACTTTTTACTGTTCATATATCACAGGAAACTCATGGCTTTAAAGACATTGTATACAATGAACTAAGAAAAAAGTTTAAAAAAGTAAAATTGATAAATCGATAAACAATGAATAAAAGATAGGTATATAATGATAAAAATTGGTTTAGATATCATATATAGAACACAGACTCAAAGCCCCAATTGTATCTCTGATAATAAACCACCATCTGAGCCCTGACCAGTGTGGCTTAGTTGGTTGGGTGTTGTTTCACTGGTTCGATTACAGGTCAGGGCACATGCACAGGCTGTACGTTCCAACCCCAGCTGAGGTGCATACAAGAGGCCATCGACTGACGTTTCTCTCTCACCTCCATGTTTTTCTCCCTCCCTTCCTTTCTAAAAATAAATAAAATCTTTTTTTATTAAGAAAGAAACCACTATTTGAAAACACAAGTATACCGAAGCCAGTTCACATCATGCAAAACCCTAAAATACATTTACAAAAATTTAAAACCATGTGTACTCACTCTAGTTTACAAAGTTTTTCATTTTATTCAGAAGAAAATAGATTTTGAAAGACTGCAAAACACATATAAAATTTATAATAGCATACCTCAGAAAATAAAAAGCAGCATTTCCTATACTTACTATTATTATAAATACCAGCAGTGAGAATTTCAACCTAGAACACCCTCCCTAATGATCAAAACATTACAGAGAAATTAATAAAATAAAAGGTAGTTAAATAAAGGCCAAACAGACACCAACCACTTGTTGATATCCCACATGATTTTATAGACAGTATATATACAACTCAAAAACACTACATTCTGTATGAGGGAAGCTATAAACAATGATCTGAATTTTCATTCCTGAAGGGGGTAAAATAAAGATGACATCTTAAGTTAAGAATGGTCCCCAAACCTCATTAGTAACAATTACATTCTGACAACTTTAAACAAAATACATTCCAAAAGTATATTTAGTATTTAAATGTTTGAAGCTTATTGTATATAAATGGTAAATAGCTCACCAAAACTCTCTGACCCATACAGCATCTGAAGAGGATTATTTTATATTATTCTTTCAATTCTGCTGATTTCTAATCCTGGACATCAGAAATAATTCATTCCTTGGCAACAAAACTCCCAAAAGCTGGGGGTCCAAAGAATGAATGACTTAATGACTTTCTAAAAGTCAATATTGATTCTATAAAAAAACCCACAATGCTTATTTAACTAACTGATTCTCAGTTTCTGTGTCAGAGGCAATTCCCTGGTTCCAACTGCAGAAGAGGCCAGAGATTTACATCCCAATTCCTCAGCTAGTTTGAAGTTGGTGAGACTTGACTATAAATATATCCTATCAAATTTCAAATCTTGATTTCAACATCTGACTTACATTATGAAAAATAAATCACATAGTACAGACTATAAAAGGGATAATGCTCTTAGTAGTAGTCTTACCACTTCTTGAACTAAGCTAATTAGTTCCATGAGACGCCGACGAAGTTTGGCTACCTCTTCATTCACTTTAGTAACATGCTGCTCGTAAATTTCCGCCAAAGGTTTAAAGGTATGTCCACCATGCTATTGAAATTAATAAGAGTAGCTTTAGAACATTTTCGTATATCTCACCTGCATTTATATTCCTTTATTAACACTCTATGAACACTAATATACTGGTAAATATTTTCAACTGAATTTTATCTTTTTGGCTGCCTTTACTTTGTTAAACAAGCCAGAAGCTGCTTAAATCACTGAATACCCAGTCTCTAGCACAACTGAATAAACTAGAAAGACACTTGAGAGGAAGACCCATGACACACTATTAGCAAAACCAATGAACCTATTCCTCCTACCAGAGTTACTGCAGAAACAGAAGGCCCATACAAATTAGTCTTACAAAGCCAGCTATATTTAAAAAAAGTATTTTTTGGAGTTGACAACCTAAAATTAATTTCCTATTCAATTTTAGTATTGTAATTTATTCCTCTCTGGATTGGTAAACAAAACTTAAATTTCTATTATAAGAAATTTCCTATAATTTGTTTTGTTCACCAAAACACCCAGCCATGTTTTCTAAGAAAAAAACAGATGTGGATTTTTGCACACCCACTTAAAATATGGAAAAAATGTTTCCACTGCTTCTTACAAAACCATTTATTTAAAGTACTAAATTGTGGGAACTGAATTTCTTCTAGTCAGCACAGGAGTATTCAAATTCCAGCAGAAAGCTCTCTTATTGGAGCTCTACTCAACCAATTTGCGTGCCATTCTCTCTCTAAAATATGCCGACGACCAAAGAATGATTAATTCTCATTGCTAACAGGCACTTTTAGATGTCTAACCACTTCTGCTCCCATTGCGACTAATTTTCCCCACCAAAAATCTATTGTTTATTCCCAAACCTATTTATGTCTATTATACTTACTATAGTAAGTATATAACAATATTAATTAAACAACACAACACAAATATAAAATAAAAAGTTATTTCCAGGAAAACTTGAATGTTCTAGACTTTATAAAAGTAGGTAACCTTAAAAAACTATATTTAGCCCTGGCTGGTGTGGCTCATTGAATTGAGTGCCGGCCTGCGAACCAATGGGTCGCTGGTTTGATTCCCAGTCTAGGACACATGCCTGGGTTGGGGACCAGGTCCCCAGTAAGGGGGCGCATGAGAAGCAACCACATATTTGGTATTTTTCTCCCTCTTTCTCCATCCTTTCCCCTCTCTAAAAAATAAATAAAAGCTTTAAAAAAGAAAAAGTTAAAAAAAAACCCAACTAGATTTAAATTAGGTTGGAAAAACTTAAAAAACAAGTCATAAGATCTAGATGTTTGCATTCATATTTTCATTTTTTTTCAAAGTTGTTCCACTTTAAATAAACCAAAATTGGAAATTGTGGCCAGGAGATGAGATCAACTGATCTTTAATAAACAAACAAAAAGCAAACCTTGATCCTACAACAAAAGATTTGCAGATGGATATACATTTTATAGGTTTACAATGAAAAGAAAATATTTACTCAAGGAATATACATCCCATATCAAAACCTCCCACAAAAGATGTTTTTCTTGAATAACAGAAGGAATGATACTGTCTGCTATAAAGCAGAATCATTTAATTTTCATTCTATAAACAGTAAAATATTATTTTCTATCTAAATCAAACAACTACTTCAGTGCTTTCTAGTCTCTAAAACAATATGCTGAATTTGTTCTGCTCACCATTCCTCCCCAAAGTGCACACTGATGGCAGATACACTTCTTACAAGTCCAGCAAAATACACTAAGTTTTTCATGGTGATTTTCACATCTACATGTTATGAAAAAAAATACAGTTAAAATTAAATTAATTAATATTGGAACATAATTACCTCAACAAATTCCTAAGTTTGGGAAAGCTGGTCAATTTTAAACAATTATATCTCAGAAAACAATATAAAATGTATTCCATGGCTTCTGTAAACTAACCTAAAGAATTACATTGGAACACAATTTTCTTCAAGTACTATTAATCTCTAAAAACTAAGAATCACTTGAAAAATGAGTTTCTTAATAAAGTAGAAATATGGCATCATTTCCTAGCATCACTACAGATCAGCGATTTTCAATTTTTTTCATCTCATGGAATACATACACTAATTACTAAAATTCTGTGGCACACCAAATAATATATTTTTTGCTGACCTGACAAAAAACAATAGTTCCAATTTTTATTCATTCACACTGAATAGCTATTACTGTGTTGTCTGTTGTCATTTTATTTGACAATCCCAGAGAGAGAAGTCAGTGCCCCTGACTAAACAGTCAGGTACATACTTTAAAATTTTTGCAGCATATCAGTGTGCATCTACTGCTATGGATGATAAATTCTAGCCTGCCCCTACATTTTTGGACAAATTAGATTATGTGAGATTATATGCACACACAAATACTTTTTCTAAACGTGACTAACTGTACAAATTATAGATCCTCATGTAAAATGAACTCCATTTTTAAGTTTTTCCGTGCTTGTTTCAGCACCATATATACTAAAACTGGAATGATAGAGATTAGCATGGCCCCTGCGCAAGGATGACACGCAAACTTGTGAAGTGTTCTGTATTTTAAAAAATAAAATTCAAAGTTTTCCCTTAAGTTGGATATCTACTTGCAAAAGAATGAAGATGGACCTGGTAATAAACTAAACTGTGTACCACCCACCCTGCCTGCCCAATTTCTATGTTGAAAGCCCTAATGTAACTGTTCTAAGAAACAGGGCCTCTTTTTTCAAATCAGTTCTCCTTATTTTTTTAATGTGGCTACTAGACAACTTAAAATTATGTAAGTGGCATACATCACATTTTTATTGGACAGTGCTGCCCTAAAGTGACACATATAAAGTACCTAAATTAACATCACATGCTTTTAACTGGTAAGACTGACCTTTAATTTTATCTGCTTAAACTATTAAAATATATTATTTTTTAAAATCATTTTTTATTGTTGTTCCAATACAGTTGTCTCCATTTTCCCACCACCACTTCCCCCAACCCCACCTTCATTCCTCCCCCGTTTTGGCTTTGTCCATGGGTCCTTTATACATGTTCCTTGAAACAGGGCCTTTAAGGATGTTAGATGAGGCCCTAAGTGTGAAGACATAACCCAACAGGACTGACGTCCTAACAAGATGCCAGAAGTGTATACGCACATAGTGAAAAGGCCACATGAGGACACAGAGAAAAAGCCTTATCCAAGCGAAGGAGAGAGGACTCACCAGAAACCGAACATGACAATACCTTGACTTTGGACTTTCTTTCAGTCTCCAAAGCTGTGAGCAAGTAAACATGTTGTTTACGCCACCTAGTCTGTGCTATTCTGTTATGGCATCCCTCATAGAGATTGTGTGACAATGTGTACATACTTAACACTACTGAACTATATATTTAAAAATGGTTAAGATGGTGAATTTTACATTATGTGCATGTATTTTACCACAATAAAATTATTTTTTCTCTTGCTTTTAAAGAGACAGTGTTGCATTTGTTCTGCTCATCACTGAAGTACACTGAGCTTAAAGAAAAACACCCAAATAGGCCTACATTTTATATTCTTATTTATAAGTAATTTAAGTTTCAAAGAGAAAATAAAGGTATGAAGAAACAGCATATACGTTATTGTCTGGAAGCTCATTTAGTATGATTTCGATACCATCAAATTTAGAATATAGCTTTTAAAATACAGGAAATTTATCAGAACAATTCTTTTTTAAAAATATTTTATTTATTTATTTTTAGAGAGGGAAGGGAGGGAGAAAGAGAGAGAGAGAGAGAAACATCAATGTGCGGTTGCTGGGGGTCATGGCCTGCAACCCAGGCATGTGCCCTGGCTGGGAATCGAACCTGCGACACTTTGGTTCGAAGCCTGCTCTCAATCCACTGAGCTACGCCAGCCAGGAGAACAATTCTTAATCAATGACCTACAGGCACCTTCAGCAAACCCAAGGGAGCCAGAAGGCATCAAGAGGCAAAGAAAAGGGATTAGCAACTGTGGCAGTTCCATGAGGCTCTGATGAAAGCAGCATCACCCTGGCCAGTGTGGCTCAGCTGATTGGAGTGTTGACCCTGTAAACTGAAAGGCTGCCAGTTCCATCACTGGTCAGGGTACATGCCTAGGCTGTAGGTACAGCCCCCAGTCAGGGCACATATGAGAAGGCAACTAATCAATGTTCCTCTCTCTCTAAAAGCAATAAAAAAATATCCTTCAATGAATATTTAAAAAAAAAAGTTAGAAGGGTCTTTCCAGATAGTAATACCTGCACCATGTCAGAAAAAAAATGTGTTCACCTATAAAACAAAACTAAAAAACAACACAGACCTGGCTGGTGTGGCTCAGTGGCCTGTGAACCAAAAGGTTGCTGGTTCAATTCTTGGTCAGGGTACATGCTTGGGTTGCAGGCCAGGTCCCCAGTTGGGGGTATGTAAGAGGCAACCACTTGATGCATCACTTGCACATTGATGTTTCTCTCCCTCTCTTTCTCCCTCCCATGCCCTCTCTCTAAAAGTAAATAAAAATAAAATCTTTAAAAATAAATCCTTCAATCATTTCATTAAAACAACATAAAACAAAACCTACTAAATACTTAAACAGAGAAATCGATCACATACTTGTCCTTTTCATTTTCTTCATGTTTGGTGAGACTACAGAGTTGAAGAGTATCAAGCTGCTGTGTTACTTCTTCTGCCCAACGACAGTTTACTAGTTCTCGTAGCTGGAGTGGAGCACTAGAGAGAAGATACAAAAATACATTTTAACTAAAGAATTTGAGATTATTTTCCAAAATAAATACATTCTAAAGGCAAATATGTGAGGTTATGGCTCTGTTAATTAACTTGATGGAAGGAAATCCTTTCACAATGTATACATTTATCAAATCATAACTTTAAATATCTTACAATTTTTTCTAATTACAGTATATCTCAATAAAGCTAGAAAAAGAAATGATCAATTAAGAAAACACATTCCTCAAAACAGAGCTCACAATCATATTCATGCTATATTACTATTACGATAACACAATAAAAAGTGTATATTGTAATTTATTTTTTATGTCAATGTTATAATTTAAAAAAGTAAACAAAAATATTGACAATTCAGATTATAGATTGAATTCTTCTTTATTCTAAAGTTATACTGTCCAAAATGATAGCCACTAGCCATGTGTGACTATTTAAAATTCACACTTGCCCTAGCCAATGTGGCTCAGTTGGCTGGAGCATCATCTCATAGGCTGAAATGTGGCAAGTTCAATTCCCAGTCAGGGAACAAACCTAGGTTGCAGGTTCAATCCCTGGTCAGGACACGTATGAGAAGGAAACCAACCAACTGATGTTTTTCACATCAACGTTTCTCTCTCTCCCCCTCTCTCCCTTCCTCTTTCTCTGAAAGCAATGAAAAATGCCCTCAGGTAAGGATAATTAATGCAAATATAATAAAATAAAATTCAAATTAATTAAAATAAAATAAAAATAAAATGTCATGACAGTTACACCAGATATATTTGAAGTGCTCAATGGCCACATGTAGCTAATGAAGTGGATAGCAATGTTATAAAACATTTCCAACTTTACAGAGTTCCATTTGATAATGCAGTTCTTAAAAGAATGTGAAAAACATGAAGAAAAATTGGCAGAAGATGTGGAGATAGTTTAAGATAAAATAAATATAAATGTCTAAAAATATTTCTAAAGATGCTCAGTTTTAATCATTTTTTAAAAAACATTAAAAATGAGATACAATTTTCCACTTAGCAAAATGAAAATAAATGACAGATTGCCCTGACTGGTGTGGTTCAACTATTCAGGCATCATCCCACAAAGTGAAAGGTCGCCAGCCAGTTCCATGCCACTCGGCTGGGTTGCAGGTTTGGTCCCCGGTCAGGGCACGTAAGGGAGGAAACTGATCCATGTTTCTCTCTCACACTGATATTTCTTACCTTCTCTTTCTCCCTCCCTTTCCCACTCTCTAGAAATGAATAATTAAAAAAAATTATACTGGTAATAGACAGCATTCATATGCATGTGAGGAAAAGGAACTTTCATTATCTTTTATTAGGAAGGCAAAATGGTAAAAAAACTATCCTTCGGTGTGGTCTGGCATCATTATTTAAAATAACCGAAAGGGGAAACAATCTAAATGTCTCTCAATATAAAAATAAATCAATGTATGATCATGTAATAGATTATTTAAGCATTTTTTAAAAGATTTTATTTATTTACTTTTAGAGGGAGGAAGACAGACAGAGAAAGAAGCATCAGTGAGTAGCTGCCTCTCGCACACCCCCAACTGGGGACCTGGCCTGCAACCCAGGTATGTGCCCTGACTGGGAATTGAACCGGTGACACTTTGGTTTGCAGGCAGGCACTCGATCCACTGAGCCACACCAGCCAGGGCTATTTAAACACTTTTTTTTTAATGACACGTGTACATCAATAAAGGTACTATTTTTTATTCAAAAAGCAAGAATATTGTATCATTTGTGTTGTAAGAAAAAAATATGTATCAGTATATACATAGAAAACGGTTTAGAAGAATAGACACCAAACCCAATAATTACTTCATGAGAAGACTAGGAGGGGAGAAACAGAGTCAGAAGACTTTTTATTTTATACTTATCTATACTATCAAGACTTTTTAAACCAGAAACCTTTAAAAAATTTTTCATTATAAAAAGTAAGTTAGAAGAATAAAAGGTCCCTGGCTGGTGTGGCTCAGTGGATTGAGCATCAGCCTGCAAGTCAAGAAGTCACCAGTTCAATTCCTGGTAAGGGCATAACCTGGGTTGCAGGAAAGGTCCCCAGCTGGGGGCGCAACCACATGGATGTTTCTCTCCCTGTCTTCCCCTCTATTTAAAAATAAATAAAATCTTAAAAAAAAGGTAAGATAAGAAGTTACACATGATTTTCTAAAAGAAGGTAAACAATCTAATGCATTCTATATAATTCTAAGTCAGATAAATTAGTTTGCATTGCTGTATCTAGAAAGATTACTTTTCTTTCCAGCTGTATTTACAAAGAGGAGAAATGCAGCAGACTGCAGAAAGAATTTTATTAATGCTCTGGCACACTCCAATTCCACCATCTTATTATTTTCCAAATTCACAAATAACCATAGCAAAACAATTACCGGCAATGAGGACACTGAGCTCTCTGCTCTGTCAGCCAGCGCTAAGGAGGCAAAAATAATAATAAAAAAATTAGATTTTGATTACAGAAACACCATTACTTTCATCTGTACATACTGAATACTTATACACCAAATTTAATGAGTTTAACTCTCTAGTGCCTGCATTAATGATATAGTTATATTGTAGAAACAGTTAAACAACCCTTTTCTTCTCATTATCATTGTGACCAGGACAAACTTCCAAGGCATAGAACCCATTCCAAAATAGCTAAGAAGCTATTCTCTCACAGAAAAGGAAGCGATTCTAGGAGACTACTTGGATCTCACAGGGAAGATGTGCGTAGTCTTCACAAAAATAACGATACTGTCACTGTTATCTCCAAACATAATCCACAGGGATGATATACTTCTAACCAAATCCCAAGGAAGTTTAAGGTACTACTAAATTCCTTTTTAGAAAAGCAATCTAATTCTGAAGTATATACATTATACACATATAAATTAGACCTAATATATGAATAAACAATATAGTAAAACCTTCCTATGAGTTCTACAGTTCAATAACTTAAACATCTACCTAACTGTTTCCTCATAACTGTAAAAAGATTTTACAAAACCTTTTAATTATGTCTCCACTAAATCTCAAATTCTATGAATTTAATTGACTTAATTATTACTGGATAGGATGCAGTATCACACCACATACAAAGGAGATGCTAAGTCTACCCAGCAAAGCTATGACTTAGAATGGAAGGGCAGATAAAGAGCTTCCCAGACAAGGAAAACTAAAGGAGTTCATCATCACACCAAATCATTATTATATGAAATGTTAAAGGGACTTATTTAAGGAAAAGAAGATCAAAACTATGAATAATAAAATGGCAAGAAATACAAATCTATCAACTGAATCTAAAAAACAAAGAAGAACAGAGATAGAATCATGGATAAAAAGAGTGTTTTGACGGTTGCCACATGAGAGGAGGTGTGGGAGAATGGAAGAAGAGGTGAGGGGATTAAGAAGTACAAATAGATAGTCACAGAAAAGCCATGGGGATGTAAAGTACAGTACAGGAAATGGAGTAGCTGAAGAACTTACATGCATGACTCATGGACATGAACAAAGGTGGGGGGCTGCCAGAGCAGAGTGGGGGAAGCTGGGTGGAAAGGGACAAAGGGAGAAAAATTGGGACAGCTCTAACAGCACAATCAATAAAATATTTTTAAAGATTTATTTTATTTACTTATTTATTTATAGACAGAAGGGAAGGAGAAAGAGAGGGAGAGAAACATCAATGTGTGATTGTTTCTTGCATGACCCCTACTGGGGACCTGGCCAGCAACCTAGGCATGTACCCTGACTGGGAATAGAACCTCTTGGTATGTAGGCCAGCGTGCAATTCCCTGAGCCACACCAGCCAAAGCTAAATAAATCTTTAAAAAATAAATAAATAAATAAATAAAATGTGGCAATTTTAATACTCTGGGAAAAACAATGTTTCTCCCAAACCAAAACCAAAGGTGTGAACAATATTAATGCACAATGTTAAAAAAAGTCTTTACAGCATTTCCTCCACATTCAACTAAATAATTAATTTCTCTCCATTAAGGGGAAGAAAGAATCACAAGCTTCAGACAGTATTCAGATTTCAGTCTGATTCTTAGCTCTGGCACTCACTAACCACAGGACACTACACAAGTGACTGAGCTCAAGTTTCCTTGATTATACACCACAACCAACTGGTATTTATTATTAAAATTCACGAACAGTTCAACATACAAAAATCATCAGTGTAATACACTACATAATAAAACAAAGGAAAAAAGACATCTGATCATCTGCTTGATACAAAAAAATGCCTCTGACTAAATCTAGTATCCTTTCATGATAAAAACACTCAAGAAATAGAAGGGAACTTTCTCAACTTAATAAGCCCTTTCTTTAAAAATCCCACAGCAAACATCATCTTCAATGGTTAAAGACTGAAAACTTTCCCCTTAAGATCAGGGAAAAGACAAGGATAACTGCTTTCAACACTTCTAATCAATATTATATTGAAAATTTCAGCCAGAGCAATTAAGCAAAAATTAGAAGAATCTCAAGGGACCCCAAATAGCCAAATTATGTTGAATTTCCTGATTCAATTTACTGCAAAGCTACAGTAATCGAAACAGTTTGATACTCACATAAAGAGAGAGAGACCAATAGAGAATCCAGAAGTAAATACAAAGGGACAAATATTGTACAATTGCACTTATATGAGGTACTTAGACTAGTCCAATTCGTAGAGAAAGAAAAAATAGTGGTTACCAGGGGTTGGGAGAGAAGGTACTGGATAGAATAAAAGTAGGCATCCTTGTCTTCTTCCTGAACTTAAGGGGAAAATTGAGGTACTACTACATACCTATGAGAATGGCTAAAATTTAAGACTGAAAACACCAAATGCTGACATTAATGTGGAAGAACCGGAACTCTCATAAACTGCTGGTGAGAATGTAAAATGACACAACTATTTTAGAAGACAGCCTGAGAATTTGTCAAAAAGTCAAACATACATCTACCATATGATCTAGACATTTCATTCCTTATTATTTACCCAAGAGAAATGAAAACTTAAGTCCATTCAAAGACTGGTACGTATGTTCATAGCCGTTTTCTATGTAAATGCCAAAAAATTAAAAGCAACCCATGTGTTCATCAACAAGTGAATGTGTCGTGTATGGTAACTACAGTTACCATACTATACTGTTATACTACTATAAATTGCTAAGAGAACAGATCTTAAAAGTCATCACAAGAAAAAATTTTTGTGACTATGTATGGTGACAGATGTTACCTAGACCTAGTGTAATCATCATTTTGCAACATATACAGATCTCAAATGTAGAAGTGTGTTGCGCACCACGCCTGGCTGGTGTAGTTCAGTGGATTGAGTGCGGGCCTGTGATACAAAGGATCGTGGTTCGATTCCCAGTCAGGGCACATGCCTGGGCTGCAGGCCAGTTCCCAGCAGGGGACGCACAAATGGCAACCATACATTGATATTTCTCTCCCTCTCTCCTTCCCTTCCCCTCTAAAGATAAATAAAATGAAAGAAAGAAGGAAAGAAAGGAAAGAAAGAAAGGAAAGGAAAGGAAAGGAAAGGGAAGGAAAGGAAAGGAAAGGGAAGGAAAGAAAGAAAGAAAGAAAGAAAGAAAGAAAGAAAGAAAGAAAGAAAGAACTCCTCAGTTAAAAAAAAAAAAACTGTGCTGTATACCTGAAACTAATGTAATGTTTTACATGTCAATTATCCCCCATTTAAAACAAGAAAACAAAAACAGGTTAGTACATAAATAAATGATGGCATATACATACAATACAATGCTACTACTGACCAATAAAAAAGGAATACTATTGACACGTGATGTAAATATGAAATAATTCTGAGAACAAAAGCAAAAACAAAAAAACCAGATACATGAGAGCACATATTGTAAGATTCCATTTGTATAAAATTCCAGAAAATCCAAACTTATCAATAGCAACAGAAAGCAGATCAGTGGTCACCTGGGAACAAGACAAGCAGGAGGAGGCATTACCAAAAGGCACAAAGAAACTTTGGGGGAATGCAGGTATTTTCACTATCTCAACTGTGGTGATGCTTTCCCAGGCTCAGGTATATACATTTGTCAAAACTTATCAAACCACACACTTTAAATATGCACAGTTTATTTAAGTCAATTATACCTAATTTTAAAAAGGCTGCAAAATTAGAAACAAAAGAACGTCAATAATTATAGGCAAGCATAAAAGTTTGCCTATAGTTTGCCTAAGTTCAGCTACTTATGCTGAAAAAATCAAAACAAAACAAAATGAGAATTACGGGGACAAAAAAGGGGGTTTAAATCCCAAAAAAGGAGAATGAGTCATAAAAGAGAATCAACTAAGTGTAGTTAGATAATTAAAGGAGACCAAGCATGAAAACATAAGATAATGTAGTCAGAGAAAGAGCACGTGTACGTGTGTACATGTATGTGTGTGTGTATGCGCACCTATGGATAGAGAACTGGAATGGGAGTTCAATCCTGGTGACTACTAGCAAACTTTGGACACGTTTATTCAAGGGTCTGGACCTTAGCTTGTTTTATTCAATGACATGAGTCCTTGTACTTTCATAGGCAGTTAAATTTCCATGGTCAAATGAACAGAGATGGGATGAAAGAGAAGGGAACGCACTGAAATGAACGATATTACAATTTGGTTGGGTGGAGTGCCCAGCTTCTCAAGGACTTTGCTCCTGTAATTATCCCCATCTCTCCAGCATCATTAATTATTCTGTTTACTGGTTCAGTCAAAGCAAGATGTAAATCTTCTTCAAAAAGAGGGAAAAATGTTGACTCTCAACATCTCCCTTCTAACCATAGCCTTATTTCTCTCCTTTACTACAAAATTCTGAGTTTTTTATAATTGCTGTCTCACTCTCCCAGCAAGTTTTTGTTCCCCATTCCCACTAAAACTACTCATCAAAGTCACCACCAATGACCCACAAATTCTCAAATCCAACAGTCAATGCCCAGGCCAGAACCATGTGACACAGGTAACCTACTCTTCTAAACATGTTTCTCACTTGAATTCTGTGATGCCTCACTCAGGCTCCTTCTTATCATCTGCTGAATCTTCCTCCTCCTCCTGACCTCTAAAGGTTGAGCAACCCAGAGCTCAGACCTAAAAATCTCTTCCCACAGGAGGTAATCTAGTGAACTCAACTAACCCCCCGCCCCCGCTTTAAATACTATCTATATACTAACAGTTCAATCTCTCTAAAGTCCCCTTCCTCAACTCCAGATTCACATTTCCAACGGTCAAGATCTCCAGTTAAATGTATAATAAACACCCCAAACTTCATATATTTAAAGTTAGTTTTTCTATTTATTGCTTTTAGAGCAAGAAAAGGGACACACACAGAGAGAGAGAAACACCAATTTGTTGTTGCACTTATTTATGCATTCACTGGATGCTTCTTGTATGTGCTCTGGCCAGATACCAAACCTTATTTTTGGAAACTCGGGACAGCACTCTAACCAACTGAGCTACCTGGCCATGGCATAAACTTCATACATGTAAAAACAAAACTTTTACATCTATAGCCTACTCAAATCTGTTCCTTCCCAAGTTTTTTCTACTTCAGAATGGAGTATCAGTAATTCATCTGGATGCTATAAAAAACTTCCTTACATACCATCTGTAAGCTCTACCTTCAAAACATATCTAGAATTGACTTATTTTTCACCACCTCTACTATTACCATTCTGGTCTAAACCACCATTCACCTTTCACTAATGAAGCGTAACTGATCTCCTCACTTCCTCTCCCACTTGCTGACAGTCCACTTTCCACATAGTAACCACAGCTATAGCTTCTAAAACATTTTGCCATTATCATTCAAAAACTTTCAATGGCTACCATCACACTTAAAATAAAATCCAAGGTCCTCAACAACATCTCTAAAATCATCTCCTTTTTTTCACTCTTCCTCTGTCCACTTTGCTCTAACTACGCTGGCTTCTTTGCTATTTCTCAATACACTAAGCATATTTCTTTCCTAGGACTTCGCCCCTTTTAATTTCTCTGCCTGGATATTTTCTTTCCTTACTCACAACACTCCCACATTTCATTCTGGTCTCTGCTCAAATGTCATCTTCTCAGAGAGACCTTCCCCAACAACCCTATCTAAAACAGCTACCAACCTGCCTGTGCCCTCCTCAATGTCCCCACTCCAATCCTTTACTTAGTTTCAATTTTCTTAATAGTGCTTACTGGTATCTAATATATACCTGCTTAATTTTTTTTCTATATACAAACTAGTAAGTCGACTCCTTTGGAAGTCAATGCCTAACTTCAAGTAGGCATGCAATTAATACTTGTTGAAGAAACAAATTAGTACATTCAAAAATCAAGACAACTCTAGAAAGAAAGATTAGAACAATATTATCCAGATGATCTGACTAAAAGGGTAATATATTCTTGGACTTTATCCTTCAGGAAATAAATCACAGGCGTCTGGAAGGGAAAAACGTGACATCACTGAAAAACAGCAACATGGCAGCATTATACAAAACAGACTAGAGATACGAAAAGATTCAAGACAGAGAGATGAGTGAGAAGACAACTATAACAATCCAAGCACGACGTAATAATGGCTCTATTTCTCTATTAGGATGGTAATAATAGGAATAGAAAAGTAGGACACACATGAGACACTAGGAGATAACTGACAGGACTTAAAATCAAAGAGATTTCAAGGTTGAATGGCAGAACAGGACAAAAAGAGGTCAAAAAAGTCAATTTGGGAAATAACAGGATGAATTTGATCTGGAAAAAAGCTGACAATGCTTGGAAGGGCAATCAGATGCGACATTTACAGGTCAATACTGAAGGAACAGATTTGGGAGCCATACTTACAGAAACAAGAGTTAAACCTGCAACAGTCAATCAAATGTCCTAAAGTAGATCAAATTTTCCCAGACACCTCAGAGTATAGAACGCCAGCAGCAATATTTAAGAAATATATGCCTTGCCCTGGCTGGTATGGCTCAATGGGTTGAACACTGGACTGCAAACCAAAAGATCACTGGTTTCATACCCAGTCAGGGCACATGCCTCCGTTATGGGCCAGGTCCTCACCTGGGGACCTGTGAGAAGCAGCCGACTGATTATTTCTCTCACACATTGATGTTTCTCTTTTTCTCCCTCCCTTCCCCTTTCTCTAAAAAATAAATCAAATCTTAAAAAAAGAAAGAAAGAAATATATGCCTTTAAGGACAGGAGGAGGTAGCAATAACAATGACGAAATGAAGACTCACTGAGGTATAAGGTAATAACCAGAGGTCACATGTCTACTGAACCTTTGTCAAAAGGACTGAGTTCATAACCAGACTCTATCACTTAATTAACTACAGTGATAGAGGCCAATGACTTCATTTATCTAGCTTCAGTTACACCATTTATAAAACTTAAATAAATCCTGGCCAGGTAGCTAACTTGGTTAGAGCATTGTCCAGATACAGCAAAGGTGTCAGTTTGATCCCCCAGTCAAGGCACATACAAGAATCTACCAATGAGGCCCTGGTCAGGTAGCTCAGTTGGCTGGAGCTTCACCTGGATACACCAAGGTTGCAGTTTGATCCGCAGTCAGAGCACAACCAAGACACCAATCCATGGCCCTGGATGGTGTGGCTCAACAGGTTGGAGCATCATTCTGTACACCAAAAGGTTGTGGGTTCAATCCTGACTAGGACACATATCTGGGTTGTGGGCTCAATCTCCAGGTGGGAGCCTACAAGAGGCAAACTAATCGATGTTTCCCTTTCTCTTTCTCAAAGAAATTAAAAACAGTCCTCCAGTGAGGGGAAGAAGAGAGAGAGAGAGAGGGAACAACAAATCCATACCTCTCTCCCCTCTTCTCTAAAACCAACAAATAAAATTTTTTTTTAAAAAACAAAGATATGCATTAGTTGCTAGTTAACAATAATGTAACACCTTACAAGAGGATAGTATTTCTACAGTTTCTAAATTACTTTTAGTTTATCTCCCTTAATGCCACCTTCTTATCACCCATCTTCTATAGCTGAGGAAACAAGGTTAAGAAAGACTGAGTCTCAGTTTATGAGTGGGAGAACTAGCATGGTGTATAACCTAGGTCTTCTGCACATGGTACACTGGCAAGCACCACAGGCTCTTGAGCCAGACTTCCTGGGTTCATATCCAGCTCCACAGTTTGCTAGCTGTGACTAGAAGCAAATGATTTATATGTTAGAGGTATTACTCTTCACAAAGGAATATTTATCTCCTTAGGCAGAAATAAGGAACCCCAGAGAAACTGAGGTGAAGAGCATGTGAGATGGCTTTGATTTTCTCAGGAAACAATTCACTAAATAATATGGACAGGAGAGTTTTCCATGGTCTGCAGAGGTGCTATTGAATCCCCACACACAACCAAAATAAGTTCTTACCTGTTAAGCCTCCTTATAATTTTATTTGAGGAGTTAATCTACATTCAACCTTAAAGTCACTGGATTATAGTCCTCCCTAAGGTCTCTTGTAACTATAAGATTATGTGATTTTATTCTTTACCTTCGAACCCATTACCAGCTTTTTTTTTTTTTGGTCTGACCCACCAAACAAGTATAAACTCTCCCTCCTCTGAGCCTCACAGTATTTTGTTGGTGCCTCTTTATGACGGTACACATTCTTCAATATAAACACAAAGTCCCTTCTCTCAATTAGATTTAAACTCCTTCAGGGCAGGCACTTCATCATTTATCTTCATATCCCTCAACCTCAAACACAAGGCAGGTCAGCCCTTTGTAAATCACTTGTTAAATGTGCAGTGATTTAATAATGTAAATATACTAAAATTACAGTGGGCTTTGGTTTCCAGACATTTCATGGCAGTAATCACTTGATGATTATTCACCTCCACAGTACTAAACAATACACACTGATGGTCTCCCTATTAAGAAATATTCATTTAAGACATTTTAAAAAGGCACAAAATTTAAAATAAGAAAAAAAAAATGAAGAAAATTTAAAAAAAGTACAACTTACCCTGATACAGCTGAAACAACAAAGCTTGGAACAATGAGGACACAGGCGAGCATCTCGCAACTTCTCCATACAAATGAAACATCGGAAAACCTCAGCAATGCTCTGAAAATCATAAAAGATGTAGAGTCCACAAGATTAGACTACTGAATCAAGAGTAACTGCATGCTTCAAGTAATTCACTCAACAACATCTTAGTTCATATCAGCACTTGGTTTGTCAGGTCCAGGGTATCCAAGAACATCTAAGCTTCACAATGTTCCTATTCTAAGGAAAGGATATGAAATTCAAACACACAGATTTTCGCACATATATTTTCACTGAAGCATTAATTATGATGGCAAGAATCTGGCTAGCCCAAATGTCCAAATATTAATTAAATTATCACAGTTAACATAAATTACAATATAGTCACTGCAAATATTTCTTGAATTACTTAATGATACAAAGGGTTAAAAAAAAAGCCTGCATTTAAAGGTAAGAAAAAAAGGCAGATTCCATGATTAAAGGAACAATATAAACTTTTTACTTTTTCTCTAATTTCCCCAAGGGGGATGAATTTTTTTTATAATTCTTTTAAAGTTTTTAAAAGAGATTATTCTAATAGCAGTGTACTTTGATCAAGAAAAAAACGAACTCAGAATCCAGAAATCCAAACTTCTGCCCTGATGCTGCAACCAAGTAGCTACTTATTTGAGCCTGAGATTCTGCCACTATAGAGAATTTTGGTGGCCCCTCTACCAATGCTTTAGGAAGAAAAAAAGATCATGTAAATGGAAGAAACAGTACTTTCTTTGCAAGAAGCCTCCTATGCATTAATTTAGGAAGTAACTGACAAGAAAACATAATTAAATATAGGTTATTAAATATTTTAAGTTTATTATTATGGTACTCATCTTTATTTTTCCTCCACTCCAGAGAATTAAACTCTCCAAACTCTTCAGAGAATTAAAACCAAGGTAAAGTTATCAAACCATTATAATACCTTCACATGAAGAATTACAAAGAAAATTACTCAAGTCTAATCATGATTCTGCAGGACCAGAAAGAACCTGTGAGGTGCAGACACGGGTGGGGGGGCGGCAAGGCAGGCAATAAGACCACTGGGTGAACTAGTTTCAAGTGGAGTGCCCCGTACCATCGCTGCCCTTACTAAAAAGCAAAGACCTACTTAATATTTGGAAAGTTCAAAATTAGACATGATACAATTATGTCCAGTAACCAATCCTTTTTTTATGTTCCTAGCCTTTACGTAAATACCCCAACCATTTTAAATCACAACTTACAAATGTCAGATATAAAAAGAATAGGTTGTTCTGGCAAACTACAGCCAAATTAAGATAGTAAGAATATATATCCTCATTCACAGGAAGGGCAAAAGTCTACAAAATGTACCGCTGGGAGGAATGATTACCCGCTGGGAGGGAGATCTGGATGCGCGCAGGAACTCGCAAGAACTGGTTGCGAGTGGTAGGGCACGTCCATCTAATGAATTTGCAGTTTTGCCGTGCACAGGCTGTAGTTTGCAAAAACCCTGTGGGGACTGAGTACCCGCGGAGGCAACCTGAAAACGCCAGGATACGCACCACCTGACTGCGGAAACGGTCAGAGCACAAGGACCAGAGGGCTGCAGAAGAAACACAGCGTGCTTCACACCTGGCCAGTCCTCTCCACAGCGGCAGCGGCGTAAGGTGCTCTACCAAAGACAGGACTAGGGCAAGGCTACCCCATTAAAAAGCATTCAGCGGGTGGCCGGGGGAGAGTAACCACCAACCTCCGCAAGCCCCCTCACCTCCACACTCTGTTCATCCATTGCCTCCGAATCCCGGCGGGGCCCTCGGCGACCCACGGAGTCCGTGGTCTGACCTAGTAGGTGACGGCCCGAGGTCGCCACTTCCAATTGCTGCGGAGAACCCGGCGCCCACGTTAGGAGGTTCCAACGACCGCCCCACTAGCGCGCCCCATCGCTTCGGCGCCAACTACCCCCACTTCGCCATTTTTATCCGCGTGCCCGCCCTAGGGCGCTGTGGGAGGGCGAGCGGTGGCCGCAGCTCCTTCCTCCCGGTTCAGCCGCCAGCCGGGGACCACGAGGTAGCTTTGGCCCACGTGACGCGAGCCGCCGGGCGCGCGCGTATCGAACCGCTGCAGAAACACCGCTGCGCTGGTCTCCAGCAAAGAAGTCGCTGCAGGGAATTCACAAACACCAACGGTAACCAGGGCAGCTGGAGGCGCGGCGCGCATGCGCACAGGACGCAGCGTTAGGGGAGCGGGGCGGAGAGGCGGGCACCTAGTTCCCGCGGGGCGGGGTCGCACTCGAGATTTGGCGGTTTGCTATTGCAGGGTTGCGAGCCTTCGACTCCAGGATTATACAGGCGGTAGGGAGCGTGGCGATTGGGAGTGCCCGGTCCCTGTGGTAGGGGCGGTGCCCCAACCAAACTCAAACCTGCGCGCCAAAGAACAGAGTCGCCTAGGATGCTTGTGGGAAACGCAAACTCTGGAGCCACTCCCTTAGGTATTCGGTTTCCGAGATTCCAGAGGCTTGGGCCGCACCAAATCCGCGTTTTTAACTACGGTTCTCGGCGACTTTGGCAGCTAGTGGTTTATGGCCCGCACTTTGTGAAACCGTGGTGCAGAGGTTTCCTGGCTAGTGGTTATTTTCTCTGGGAGGAAACTCAGAGTCTCAGGTTTTTAAGGCTCCCGCCCCGCCTATCGAAGCGAAGCTCCAGACTGAAGCCTAGAGGGGTGGTTTCTTTTTTCGGGGGTGGTTCAACAGGACCACAGATTGTGTAGACGTTAAGACCCACACCATGTAGCCTGCATTTCTTGCCGCTTGAGGTGCACTGTCGCCACGAGACTGGACCAATTGCAAATGGGTATCAGCTGTATCCAGCTATATTGGCGGCTGCTTTCTACAATTTTCTAGCATAGGAGATGTTTATTGCAGGAATTGAAGGTGTGAGACTAGGACGTGCATCAAATTCTTACCTTATTTTTCCGTGTATAATGCTCACTTTTGCCCAAATTTTTGAGGGAAAGGTAACAATGCACGTTATGCGTACATAGTACTAATTCTGTATTTGTATAAATGTTTTTATTTTATTTGTGCTTATGCATTAAAAGTGTAAGTCTAGAAAGCAAAAACAAATCTGTAGACAAAATAATACCCTGGAATATGATACTCAGTTTTGTTTCTAAATATAAATAATTGAAAGATTTTCCTGAAAGTTTGGGTCAAAAATGTGGGTGGGCATTATGTATAGGAGCACATTATACACGGCAAAATACAGTAATTTGAATTTAATTTTTTTTCTTTCTGGTTTGTTCACAAACAGCTATTACACTTAGCCCAACCTAGAATGAACGTGTAGAGGATCAACAATAGCCGTGAAAGTTCTTGAATTTCAAAGCATTAACTTTTTTTTTAAAGATTTTATTAATTCATTTTCAGAATGAGGAGAGAAAAAGAGAGGAAGAGAAACTTCCACAGGCTGCCTCTTGACCACCCCCAACCGGGAACTTGGCCCAAAACCCAGGCAAGCTCCCTGACCCAAATCTGAACCAGCGACCTTCCAGTTTGGGGAACGATGCCCAACCCACTAAGCCACCCCAGTCAGGGAGCATTTGGACTTTCTTATAAGTAGTGGGCAAGAACAATTTTTTTAAAAACTACGTGAGCCATGGACAAAAATACTTTAGGGAGATTAAGCTGTGACTGAAAAATTCACAACAATTATTATGTACAGGAACATCCTTAATATCAATTGCCTGAGTACTGAATAAAATTAATGTTACAAAGGTGTGACTTATTTTTGTGTAAGCCAAAAAAAAGGGGCACTTTCTGTTCTTGACATATTTAAACAAGACAGGACAATTTTAACTGTAGCTACTCTCCCAACCCTGTTTTCTCTCTCCCAAATCCTGTTTTCCCTGTTGGTCGATGAACAAATATTCTCATAACAAATTTTTTAATTTTACATTAAAGTGCAATTCTATAACCTGCAGGCAAAACATTTGATGCATTTTCCTAGTCCTTTCAATGCCTCATTTTTATTACATATATGGAAAGATCATTTATCCTTCATTTTTATCTTTCAAAATCCAACACCATCTCATCGTGCTTCCAACCATCCAGTCACATAAAAGTTAAGTGATTTGCTCAGGGTCACACATCTGGAATTTAAAAGCGGCTATTTACACATCTCAGGATGTCAGAGCCCAATCTTCAAGACTGCAATACGTATCTGCTTCCCCTTTCCCATTCAGCATTTCCCAGAACTTTTAACTAATAATTTATAGACACCTCTGACCTCTTACTGCATAGGTATGCCATGATTTATTTTCTTATTTGCCTGCTATTAGCCAGATGTGTGTATTGCTATTATAAATAATCCTGTGATTAACATTTGTATCAAGATCTGCCCCCTACTATGGACAATTGCCTAATCGTCAAGTTATTTTTAAAAAATAAGGAGTCCTGACCGGTGTTGGTTGGGCACTTCGACTCCTGGTCAGGGTACATTTCTGGGTTGGGGGTTCAGTGCCTGGTCAGAGCATGTGCAAGAGGCAACCAATTGATGTTTCTCTCTCTCCCCTTGAAAGGAAGAAAAGAAGGGAGGGAGGGAGGAAGGTAGACACATAACTGGCAAGTAGGGGTCACCAGTGCTCTTATGATTTCATTTCATATCTTACATAAAATGAACAATTACAGTAGTATAGGCTGAAGGAGAACAAAGGTCATATTGAAATACAATAGGAACAGCCTAAAAGAGCATTTGAAAGCAGAACTCATGCTCAACATTAGCAAACAGAAGGAATAGGACAAAAATAAAAGTGAGGCTCTCGTAGAAAAACTAACTTATTACAAAAGTTAGGTTTTATGGGAGACTAGGTCACATAGCAGTCTCACTGATAATGTGACCACATCTTCAAAATTTTCAAAAATAAAAAATTCTATAATATACATAATATGTAACATAATATAAATATTTTTCTATCTTTTAAGGCATGCTTATTCACATTTGACTGACTGTTAGTACATAAACATTCTTTTATGATGGGCCAGCACATTGGTGTTACCCTGATTATAAAAGAACAGATGCAAGAGTGTTAATACTTTCCTGCATGACATTGCAAAACTAAGCATGTGTACATACATATATTAAATCTCTTTATTCCCATTCCATCCTTTTGGCTGAAATTTAATATCTGCCCTTCTTAGGCAGATACTAATCTTAAGAGATTTCCTTCTCTTCTGAAAGGTATCACTTTCTAGTCACCCAGGCCAACTCTTCTCCTTCACCATACCCGTCACCTGTGGTCACCAAGTGTTAACAAGACACTTTCCTAAATCTCTCTGGAATTGATCTCTTCCTTATTAGAGTTCCCCTTTGCAAGTCCATTCTTCATAAGTCTGACATGTGAGATTTTAATTGTTGTACCGCAGTTTTCTCTTCTTCGGTCAGTGGTGACAGCTAGAAAGCAAATAAAAAGGTATTTATTTCAAAAACCTTTAAAGGCTGCAAACATACTTTAATTTTAAAAAATCTTTACAGACTGATAATTGTTAACTTCTTTTTTAAAAATATATTTTATTGATTATGCTATTACACTTGTCCCATTACCGCCCTTCACTCCCCTCCACCCTGCATAGCCCCTCCCACCCACATTCCCCCCTTTAGTTCATGTCTATGTGTCATACTTATAAGTTTTTCAGCTTCTACATTTCCCATACTATTCTTACCCTCCCCCTATTTTCTACCTACTATCTATGCTACTTATTCTCTGTACCTTTTCCCTCTCTCTCCCCATCCCACTCCCCTGTTGATAACCCTACATGTGATCTTCATTTCTGTGGTTCTGTTCCTGTGTAGTTGTTTGCTTAGTTTGCTTTTGTTTTTGTTTTAGGTGTGGTTGTTAATAATTGTGAGTTTGCTGTCATTTTACTGTGCATGTTTTTTATCTTCTTTTTCTTAGATAAGTCCCTTTAACATTTCATAAAATAAGGGCTTGGTGATGATGAACTCCTTTAACTTGACCTTATCTGAGAAGCACTTAACTGCCCTTCCATTCTAAATGAAAGCTTTGCTGGATAGAGCAATCTGGGATGTAGGTCCTTGCCTTTCATGACTTGGAATACTTCTTTCCAGCCTCTTCTTGCCTGTAAGGTTTCTTTTGAGAAATCAGCTGACAGTCTGATGGGAACTCCTTTGTAGGTTACAGTCTCCTTATCTCTTGCTGCTTCTAGGATTCTCTCCTTTTTACCTTGGCTAATGTAATTATGATGTGCCTTGATGTGTTCCTCCTTGGGTCCAACTTCTTTGGGACTCTCTGAGCTTCCTGGAAGCCTATTTCCGTTGCCAGATTGGGGAAGTTCTCCTTCATTATTTGTTCAAATGACTTTTCCACTTGTTGCTCTTCCTCTTCCCCTTGTGGTAACCCTATAATTTGGATGTTGGAACGTTTAAAGATGTCCTAGAGGTTCCTAAGCCTCTCCTCATTTTTTTGAATTCTTGTTTCTCCATTCTTTTCTGTTTGGTTGTTTCTTTCTTCCTTCTGGTCCACACCATGATTTGAGTCCCAGTTTCTTTCCCATCACTATTGGTTCCCTATACATTTTCCTTTATTTCACTTATCATAGCCTTCATTTTTTCATCTAATTTGTGACCAAATTGAACCAATTCTGTGAGCATCCTGATTACCAGTGTCTTGAACTGTGCATTTGATAGGTTGGCTACCTCTTTGTCGCTTAGTTGTATTTTTTCTGGAGCTTCGATCTGTTCTTTCCTTTGGGCCATTTTTTTTTGTCTTGATGTGCCTGTTACATAGTGAGGGGTGGAGCCTTAGGTGTTCACCCAGGCGGGGTAACCCAGTCGCTGGATTATGATGCTGTATGTGGAGCTGGGGTCCAAGAGGGAAAAATGGTGCTTGCTACACTCTCTGCAAGATTTCAGTCACTTCCCCCACTTCCCACAAGCAAATTGGGCCCTGTTGGTGCTGATTCCCAGGTGTGTGGGTTTGTGTACTTTCTAGGACCCTGTGGCTCTCTCCAACAAACTCTCCTGTGAGGCTGGGAGTTTCTCCCCTCTTGCCTCAGCCCCTACAGGTGTTTTCAATCAGTAGTTTGAGGCTTATTTCCCAGCGCTGGGACCCTGGGTTGGGTGGTCAGTCCTGCTCCACAGTTTCACCAGGTTTATCTGCGTGCAAATGTGGGACCACCT